ATGTGTGGAGAGTTGTCTCATTGGCAATCATACCACATCTTCTTTTTTATATTTACATCAACAGATATAAAAAATTCACCAAAGTCAAGGTGAGACAACAAAACTTAGTTGTAAGATCTCTGAAATTTTTTACAGGGTACGAGTTTTTCTCATTGTTGGAGATTGTACGGTGACAGTAACACCTGTAACTGCTTAAACCCATTTCTTATGCACTTCAGTTTGATAAACTCACTGAATATCATACCACATCTCCTTATTTTTATATGCATTACAATTTACATGTGCATGTAATTGTAAATATATATATATCAGAACAAAATTCATTGCGTCACTTTTATTTATGCATCCTTTGGCACAATACAAGTTCTAAAATTACACAACATAAAACAACTAAATGTTATTTCAGATGAAAGTTTTGTTTCAGTTCCATTCATAGGATTTATTAGAATTTTGTATGTTTTGCCAAGTCCAATAATTCGCTCTATGTGACATAGAGACATAGTTGACTTAACCACCAGGTGTCGAATATTCAAGAATTTTCAGTGTTTCTGTTTTTATTTGATGAAAAGGTTGCCTGAGCTCTAGGAGCTTTAGGTTTTATCACGGGATATTCTGTGCCGTCAATAATAATCCAAGTTGTAGGAAACTTTAATTTGAAGTTGGATGGTGAAAAATACCTGACTAAACCACTAGATGGCCAAGTGTTAGCCTCACACCACTGTTTAGACATAAAAACAATCCATGTATACACAATATTCTTAACACTAGATTCAATCTAGAATCTAGACAGTTCAAAGTTGGTTGTATGATGCCTCAATTTCATCAAAGTCATAAAAAAACTGATTTTCAACTGACACCCTATCAATCTTGAAAATATATGCAGTGTTCTCCCCAGGATTTTCGGATAGCACCAGGGTAACGCGTGTGGACTACTTGGTGAAATATTTCATGCAATCAGTTGTGTCTTGTCGCGTTTCTTAGCTCTAGTTACTGTAGTTTTTATGTCTCTTGTTTTGTTTTAATACTGTGGTACTGTGTTATGTAGACATTGATTCAGAAAATTATTGGTAAAAAAGAGGTAAATCAAAAAACAGTTTGTATACTTTAATATTTTTTTAAAATAAATAAATTATGATTCATAATAAAATATTCATCTGAATTTAAAGTAATTAAATCTTTTATAAAATCCAAAATCAATAAAAATAAAATATCATTAAAAGTGAACAAAAATGTTCTATTGGTGATAATCAAACATAGATACAGGCTTAATACTGCCCTGAAATCTAAATCTTTATTTGTCATGAACCATTTAAAAGGAATTCCTAAATCTATAAATTTATCTTTGGTCTATAGATCTATAAGTAACCATATTCAATGTCAACAACTAAGTCTCCCTATTTTCCCGCCTAAATGACAGGAAGTAGATATAAATAGATTTAACATGTGCTTTTGGATAAAATTTGCAAGAATTAGATTACTTCTGTTATTCATTGATTATGGATATTGATATCCAGTTTTAAGGTACAGTCATGCATTTTATTTATAAAATATAATAGATTGCAATTAATTGTAAATAAACTTGAATATTCTACGTGAACTAACTGGGTCATGTGATATGTACAGACAGATACTACAGTTTTGAAACCCGACTATCATGCAATAACTATGTCATACTTAAAGATAATATTGTCCATGGTTTAATCAGAGACATATAATACTATATTATAAGAATTGGGAAATGTAGAGTTGTCCATTATACGTAATTAGCCACCTTTATGATGTACACAAAATGTACCTATCGGGTCAAGACACTGTTTGTGTACAAAGTATTTACCGACTTGTCACAGGTCAGTGCTTGGGTGGAGAGTGAAGCCATAAAATAGTTATCTGTGATCATAAAGTTATGAACTCTTAGTTAAAACACAAAAGAATCATGTTACAAGTGTTAATTACATCGATTAAATGCAATCAACAAGGTTAACCTCATGAGGTAAATCGATCACGTGGTGTAAACAATCTGTGTTGAACTGGTTTGAACTGGTCAAATTTCACCTGGAATTTTACACCGCACGGAAAAGATTTAACAAGTCGTTTAAAACTTTACCGATTTACGATTTTTTAAATGAAAATTTTAGCACCACGGAGAAAAATTATACATCGCGGAAAGAACGATACCACCGCGGTAAAAAATTATACATCGCGGGCCCGCGGTCCTTTAAGGGCCTGGGGAGAACACTGATATGTATCTCAAACAATGTGCTGCTGGACCAAGTGTGGTCAAAACAAATAAAAATTTAGTATACAACTCTAAACCGGTATAAAAATGCATGGCTGTGTCACATGTCTTCATTTCAAAATTCTCTGCTGAAAACATAGGCATTGATGGTGTTTGCGTAATTCCATCTGTAAAGCTCAACATTAGCTCGGCAGTTGGTGGTGGACAGTCATAAATCCTTTCTGCAGTATGAATGACTTCTTCAGGAAAACCAACTTTACAATCAAAACTTTCCTCTAGATTTCTACTACAATATTCATCAAGTTTAATTCTTTTGTTTTCACAGGAAACTGCCCTGATTTTTTGCGGACGATTCAGTCTCTTGCTTGGTCCAGGAAAATAGGCTGGGAATTGCAGTAGACTTAAGTCTCTGTATGGTGGGTTTGCGCCCTGAAAAAGGTTATAAAACATTAGATTTTTTATAATTAAATGAACTTCCATTAGCAATGTATACTTTGTACTACCTGGCGAAATATTAACTAGATTTATTCATTAGAATCTGGATAAAACTATGTTTGCCTGATTCAATGTATGTTATGTAAATCCAAAGGACAAACAATGAGAGACTTATGCAACAAACGTACATTGTTTATACCTAAATAACTATAATATAGATGAGAGCATGTCATTGTTTTGTTCCTGTTAACATTGTCATTGATATTTTTCAAGAAAGTCTATGAGGCATAGCTTATGCATTCCTGTCATTACTACATTAGCATAATTACTGCTAAAATAATTCTCAGTATGATATACCTCTTGTAAGAAATCATTATAATTGTAGCAATCACCAAAAAATCTCAAACAGATCACATTGAATCGTAATCCAAAAAATTATGACGTCTTGAATTACCCACCCCCTTTTATTCTAAAACGATAATTGCGGTTGTAAACAGACTTTGGTTTATTCGCATGGAGATTACATATATAACTATATATTTCACAAAGAAAATAGAGTTTTACCATGAATAGTTTCCTGCACGTAGTCTTTTTCAGTAAAACGTGCCTTGCAAACAACAGCTGATTGAGATGGACTCCACGATATCATCGTGTTCTCGTCCAATCTGCGTATGGGCCATGGCGTTGATCCAACTTTTCCTTCTTTTTAAGTCATTTGGAAATGCATGTCCTCCTCTTAAATGACATCCAGGTACACAACAACAAGTACTTGGCATCGTTAATTAAAAATATAACTGAAATAGTTGCACAGTGCAGAAACCGGAAGAAGAGGAACAGGATCCGCTACCACGGCGCCACCTATTCAGGAACGATAATTTGCTACTTTATATAACTGCGAAAATAACGTTAGACGGGTTCACGTGCATAAACAGAAATGCGCTTTAAATTGTATAATATAATTCATGTTCAGTCGACCTTTAATTATTATATCAACGACTGAAATGATTTATAAACATCTAGATTGCAGATAACACTCGAAATTAACCCGAGCTCTTTCCACACGGAATTCAAATAATTCTAGTTTGTCAATCGGTTGACTGCTTATAATGCAAAATACTAATATATCAAAAGTTTTTAAGACTAACAAAACACAATGATCGTTTCTCTATTTCCCAATGTAAATGAAATGAAACAAAAAACATTTTATATCGCAATAAGAAGAGGAGAGAATTCAACATTTCCGGATCTACTTGGAGTCTAATGACCCCCCACGTAGATAAGTTGGATATCGCGGAAGGAAGGATTAACCCGGCAACTAGAAAGGCATTAAAGCACTGCCTTTAAAAATGACCGAAAAGATTTTACCTATTTCTGTCGTCACCATATTTGGGATCGTCGTAATTCCAGTTATGATTATCAGTTTAACACCAGTGACAATGCAAGATTAGAATAAGTGCATTTACCCTTTTAAAAGATAGAGACAAATAGGTATGCTAAGATATGAAGCTAGATCACAAAGGCTGTGTAAAAATGCAAACTGGATAAAATTGAAGGCTTTTCATTCAAGAGAATCTAGATATATAAAAAAAAACTTTTGGTACATACATAAATGAATATTCTGAATTAAGAAAAATATTAATCTAGCACAGAAATATCAACATACACTGTTAATATATATATCTCAAGGGTTGCCTGTAAGAATATATCATCTGCATTCTTTATAACTATATATATGTTTATATATACTTATGAAACCATGGCAATGGACTGACTGCAGCTTCAAACCACTATATATATATAAAGGTGATAATATATAGGATTATTAAATTAATTGTGAATTCATTTATGTAAATCATTGTAGTAAATTGCTTTGCTCTTTGTTATCTTTAATTCAAATTAAATGTTGTTCACCTTTAAGCTCATGTATACAATTTTAAAATGAACATTTGAACAATCATTGGGTATCAATATTGGTGGTTTCCTGACATGAATATTTCAACCAAATTTCAGGAAGCTTGGTTTTGTATTTGCTGACAAAAATGAGACAAATATTTCATGGGACAAGTTTTTTTTTATTCAGGGCTATTCCATTAATTAACTTTTTGCTGAACATAGGTCATTGGTCAATTATGGTTGTATGTCCATTTTATGTATACGAATTTACTCAAGGTACATTGGTTGGAGCAGGGGGTGAATTACCTTTCTACCCTACCAGATCCATTTAAATGGAATAAGGACTAATTGTAGTGGTTAAATTACTTTTAAGTTTGAAAAAATGAGGAACTGCTTAAAAATTGTGTATTTAAAAAAAAAAAACAGTATTACTCACCAGACAACCAAATGCACACCTGCTGAAGTTCATGACCTTTGGTTCTATGGGTGCTGACCCAGTAAGAATTAACCTTACTTTCCCTCCTAACTGTTTCTGTATCTTACCAAACACAAGATAATCCCATAAACTGTTGTTTCTTATTATACAGCTTCAAATATACAAAAAAGTTCAATATTATAAGGTTATTGCATAAGTATTGGTGAATATTGTCTGCTATTGGTGCATACTGTCAAGAGCAGATTTTTGATTTGGCATGAGAGTGTGAGTGCAGTAAGATTAATAGCTTGTTGTGCTAAGGATACTCCCACTCAAAATTCATTTCCTTTTACACACAAATAAAATTAAGAATGGAAATGGGGAGTATGTCAAAGAGACAACAACCCGACCAAAGAGCAGACAACAGATGAAGGCCACCAATGGGTCTTCAACGCAGCGAGAAAATCCTTCACCCGGAGGTGGTCCTCAGCTGGCCCCTAAATAAAATTGTGTACAAGTTCAGTGAGAACGGACGTCACACTAAACTCCAAAACATATAAATGAACTAAAATTAAAAAACAAAGGCCAGAGGCTCCTGACTTGGGACAGGCACAAAAATGCGGCGGGGTTAAACATGTTTTGTGAGATCTCAACCCTCCCCCTATAACCTCTAGCCAATGTAGTATAAAGAAACACATAGCAATACACACAGTAAAAATTCAGTTCAAAGGAAGTCTGAGTCCGATGTCAGAATAGGTAACAAAAGAAACAAAGCAAAATGACAATGATACACAAATGAACAAAGGACTTCTAGCAGTTACTGACATGCCAGCTCCAGACCCCAATTAAACTGATTGAAAGATTATGTCTTCATCATATGAAAATCAAGTACAATCCCTCCCGTTTAGGGGGTTTAGTATCATACCATCATAAAATATATATGAGAAGAACATAACCCGTATCATGTCAACAACTGGTTTTAGAATAAATGTGTTTAATTCCGATGCAAAGACCCTATGAGTGAATCAATATTAATACCAAATTCCGATGCAAAGACCCTATCAGTGAATCAATATTAATACCAAAATACGCAATCCTTAATGACTTGATAACAGTATCGTAACTATATCCTTTCCGAATAAGTCTGTTTAAAGGTCAAGTTAGCTTTTAAGGTGAATGCCAACATTTTTGTGCTTTGTAAAGAATATTACCATAAAATATTGGATGTGAAATACATGAACGTATAAGATGTCTGCATGTTGATTTATATTTACGAATGATGTCCTTGTACCGATGATAAAATTTAGTAAATGTTTTTACTAGTTTGTTATATTGAAAACCCTGATGTAATAATTTTTCAGTAATACAGATATTTCTTTCGCTGAAATCAAATACGTTGTTACATACACGAGTGAATCAAACAAGTTGAGATATATAAACACCATAAGATGGCGACAATCTAAAAATGGATAATTAACAATAGGAAATGAAAAATTATCTCTTTTATCATAAATTTTGGTATTAAGCTTCCCGTTAAAGATAAAGATATCAAGATCCAGGAAAGGGCAGTGTTCATTGTTAGTATCAGCTTTATTTAAAGTCAGTTCGGCAGGATAAATCTCTTTAGTGTACAAATTGAAGTCGTCATTATTGAGAGCCAATATATCATCTAAATATCTAAAAGTGTTATTAAATTTTTGAATCAGATGTTGTCTCGATGGGTCTTTGCTGATTTTAGTCATAAATTGTAACTCATAACAATACAGAAACAGGTCCGCAATAAGTGGTGCACAGTTAGTCCCCATTGGAATTCCGATAACCTGACGATATACGGAATCTCTATAGTGAACAAAAATGTTATCTAGTAAAAATTCAAGGGCAGTTATAGTATCAAAGCAGGTCCAATTGACAATGTACAGTATTTAAATCAATTTGACAATCAGACTGGACACACAGCAAGTTCATGTTAACTTCAATGAAACAAAAGGTATGACAGTTTTTATTTGTTGGTTCCTCTTTTTCCACAATATTGGAATACAAATTCTGCAATATTAAAATAGTGTGTGTGTGTGTGCATTCTTAAGATATTTTATAAACTTTACAGATCTTATGTTTTCATCCTTTAAAAAAGTTATAATTTTGAAGAGGAACATTGCAATACAATTTACTCACATCTATGCAATGTAAAAAGATGATGTGTCTTAACAGAAATGTGCAGTTTTTAATATTATTATGCTGTTTTCTTAAAACTTTTACCAATAGATAAATAAATTTTAAAATCTATTCCAAATTTACATATGAGCAAAAAGTTTAAATCTGACATAATTTTTTTGTTCCATATCTTGTCCTTCTAAATGTGGGTAAGTTTAAGTTAGGTTTTACCACAAACCAAATATAAAGATAAACTAGAAAATTTGAATAATTTTTTTTTACTGTTATCAATCAAACCTACTTTTGAATTTCTTTCATCTTCTCAGACAAAGCTAGGTCAAATAACCAACGTTTTAAAGGACTTGATTTGGTGGCAGCAAGAACCTGTCAATATTAAAACATATCAAAATTGTAAAGCACATCTTTATACTGGTACTTAAATAAAGATTTTTATTAATGTCATATATAAGAAAATATTTAATCTGCATTCAAGCTATTCATTTAAACATATAAAAGTACAATTAGAGAATACCAAAAGTAGCTTGCTGATTATCTTCCCTTGATTTTTTTTTAAAGGAAAACTGTATTTATTGAACAGACAGACATCAGCAGATTATTTCAAAGTTTATATTACTTTCTGTGGATATTCTTAAGCTTTCAAATAAACAGGAGTGTATGCTCTTTTGGAAAATAAAATGTATTTCATTTCACCAAAATTTGACATAACTTGCTACTGACACTCCATTTGGGACATAAGATGGAAATACATGAAACATGTCTTGATATGTTAAAATGTATGTGCAAAGTAAAACTAGACAGTGGAAAAGTCTACTAAAGAGCAAATGAAAAGTGTCTACCTCAGAAGCCTAACATGAATTAATGAAAAGTCCTATGTAAAAAGTCATATTTTTTGTAGTCAATTCTACTTCATCACATATATATTTTAGATGCACCAACAGCTCTTTAAGATCACATTTTGGAAAACTGCTGAAATTCATGCATGGCTTTTGCTTCTAAAATTTATGAATGGTTCCTTTGCAAGTTTTAAGTAGTAAAGTGTCCTTTTTTTATTCCTAAATTATCTTAGAGACGTAGTCCTTATAATACTGAGTATGTCTTAATTCTTATCAGAAGCCTAGGAACTGCTGAAAAGAAGGCATTAAATACAACATTTTACTGACCTTGTCATAAATTCTGTTGAGTAACCTTGGCACTGTAGGGAAGAATTGAGGTTTGAGACTCTGTAAATCTTCTGGAAGTTTCTTTATATCTCCACTGGAAAATCCTACCTGACATCCATGCATATACATAACAACCTGAACAAAATAGTTTTCAATAAAATTCATTTTGAAAAATATATATTAGCCTAAACAATATCAATGTAGGTCTTATTTGTACTTTTTCACTTACTGTTGAATAAACCTGGTTTTTTTCATAATTTGTTTAGCTGTTATATATATAAACATTACCAATGTATTGCACTGCTTACTTATCCCCTCCTCTAAAAAGTTGAAAAATTAGGGTTCTTTTTATCTTCGAAAGGTGTAAAATTCTCATATATAATGAATAAGGATGACAAATATTCAGTAAAATCCAAGTACACAGTTTTCAATTTTGTTTCAATTATCAATAGTTTGCAATTTCCACTTAATTTGCACAAATCAATGTTTAATATGCTAGATGAAAATCTAACTTTTCACTTACTCGAATGAATAAGGCTAAAAACAAAATTTCCAAATCATATATACATGTATATGTATTCTATCCTTTTCAATAAATGCAGATATAAACAAAGAAAAGCATGGCCAACACTACTGTTATACAAAATGCAGGTACACAAATTTCATCTAGTTATTGTAAAGATAAAAAAATTTTCAAGGGTTTTATTTTCATTAATTTTGTGACAAACATAACAAAAAAGAAGAACATTTTTATCTTTATGAATGATAACCAAAAAATTTACTTCTGGATACTATCTTATGATCATAATCAAGCTTCTGCCAAAGTTTGGTAGAAATCCAGGATAGTTTAAGAAAGTTATTAAAATTTCAAAGACTTTAACCACAGAGTGAATATTTGTTGCCGCCGCCGACGGAATGTAGGATCGCTATGTCTCGATTTTCAACAAAAGTCGAAGGCTCAACAAAAAACGCAAAAATAAAACCTAACTAGTGAACAGGATTGTCTTTTGAAATTGAGAACGTTAAACCCTGCAAAAATAAACCATTATGCATATAACTGACTTGTAAGAACTTTCACATAAACATTTAACAAAGCAGCCAACCTGCCAATTGTAAGATATTGTAAAATTTCTTAAGTGAAAGGGTGCATATATCATAAAAAAAAATGAGATTTTGCTGCAATGAACAATACTGGTTTACATACATTCATTCCTCTCTCAAAGTTGTGAGCTAACGGAAGATATGATAAATGTCTGTCTTCTGGTCCTATTGTGGTAACTGTCTGAAAGAAAGATTTAAAATGTCAACTTTTAAGCAAAATAATATGATGATAAGATGGAACCATGTACCCATGAGATAACTATGATGTTTCATGTAACATTAAGATTTCATTGACATTTTATACTTTTTTTTTATACATTTTATCTCAAATAGTAACTGCATTGAAACTTACATCTTTTTTTCTTAAAGGGGCATAAGCTGTCAAATTCATGTTCACCAAATTAATTCAAATTCTCATATTTGATTTATAACATACTAAAATGTATATCCAAATTATAAAAAGTCTAAAATAAAACAATTTACAATGCAAGGGCTAGATAATATGTATCACCTTTTCGTGTGTATTTTAGTCTAGATGCCATCTAATTAACCATCGAGGTGACCTCCGAAGACAGCCGACGGTAATATAACCCAATATAAACATAAATATAGATATAAATAGATAGCAAACTCATGCAATTTGATTTTTCTAGGTCTGTTTGATAGATTAAAAATACATGTTAATGATCGTTTTTACCTGTATAAGAATGAGTTTTTGTGGATCGAATCAGTCAATCAAATGGTTTAACCTTGTTTCACTTTCAATGTTGACATTCTCTTCCTTTTAATTTGTGAACACGCCTAATCTAGCGAATGGGTTAAATTGAAGTTCACATGAATAGGGATTCAATGAGGTTGAATTATTCACTTGCAAGTGAATAATTCATCAGCGATGTTTCTTAGCTTATTTTGACAAAATTGAACCAAACTGGCTTCTTAAAGTGAATTATTATTTCACTATTTGACTTTCATAAATGATTGAACAAAAAAAAAAATCAATTTTTAATTTTTTTTATATCTCATAGCTAATGCCCCTTTAAGGAATTTTGATTTTTCTGATTTTTTTTTACAATTTGCTTACTGCTTAAAAATTATTTGATAGATTTAAGTAGACCAATACATAAAATTTCCGAAATGCAAATACAGTCTCAATATCTCGAAGTAAGCCAGACCTAACAAATATTTGGAGATACCCATAGTTCGACTCAAACGAAACCCAGAAATTTGACAGACCAAGGGACACAACTCTTGCTTAGCTTGGTAAAGCTAAAATAAATATGGATGAATAGGGGTTGGGGATCGATATTCTGGTCTAAGATTGATGTATTTGTATGTTATGGTCTTTTATTATTATTACATGTACAACATTCTATGTTTTCTTTTATTATTTATTTCTTTTTACAGTTACAATTTTTTTGCTTTGGTTTTAAGCTGAGAGAGAAATATCTAATCGATCTTGGTGTTATTTAGAGTTGACAAAATTGTTCATTCTTGTATTAAAGAGATTTGATAAAATCTATATTTCTTTTCATTTTCTTTCATTTCAATCTTTTTCTGCAAGAGAAAATACAAAAAGATTAAAGACGTCGACTGAGTAGTTTTGAGTTGATCACCAATAGAAATCTTAATCCCTACTTTATACACAACCAAGCTCATTAGTGTATGATTACAGTTAATTGTTTTTAAAACATTTTAAATAATTAAAACAATGTATCACTAATTATTTATCATGGTGATCAAAGATAATCGTAGGTAAACACTCGTGGAAACAGTATGTCATAAATCAATACAGTGGTCAGTGACCAAAAAAATCAACTACACATGTGTGTGTGTGTATTGTTAGATTAACTCTTCAATACATTTAAATCCCAGAGGTCATGTTTTGACACATGTGTATTAGTTCGAGATAAATAATGAATTTTGCTTTTGTTAACCTTAGTTTTGGACTGTAAATTTAGTTCGAGTCTATCGAGATTTGATTTTGATTTTTGATTTTTGGTGTTTTAACGCCACTTTCAAGCACTGCTTTTGGGCTATTTCGTGGTGGCCAGTTTTATTGGTGGAGGAAGCCGAAGTGCCCGGAGAAAACCACCGACCTTCAATAGGAAAACTGACAATCCTAGTCAATTAAGATTGGAGTCAAGTGCACCCGCACGAGCGGGGTTCGAACTCACAACCTCAGTGTTTACTGGCTAGTGATTACAGTAGTAACTACTAAGACCACTCGGCCACCGAGGCCCCCCCGAGTCTATTGAGATATTGACTTCTCCAATTTAGACTCATCAGGAGTCAAAATACATCTATCTATATGGAACAAAGTTCGGGTCCATGAGAAAACTTAAGACTCATCAGAAATTTCAAGTCAAAAAAGTTTGAGACAACGAAAGTTAACTGTACTAACAAAATAGCTGACCAAAATAATGGACCAACTATTGCATGACATTTTTTTTTAATTTGAAGAAAGAGGGGTTTGAATGAAATAGCTGATGATAAAGTTTGGCAAACCAAAAATGGGTTACACAATATGCCGAAGTCAATAAATTGACATTTAAAAAAGAATTCTACTTCTGGTACAAAAAAATTGATGATTATGGAAGTTTCATGGTTGAAATAAACATGTTTTGGGTGAGTTTACCTTTATACAATAAATAACAGATGACATGTTAGCTACCATGTTTCTGTGGGAGATCATGACACCTTTAGGATCACCTGCAAAAAGTTATAAGACAAAAATTAAGGATTTGGTATGATTGTAAATTAGACAACTATCCACAATATAAAGAGGGATATAAACAACTACAGGTCACTGAATACCCTTCAATAATGAATAAAAACCAATATCATATGGTAAGCTTTAATAATGATCTGATTTTTAGACTTTCTAATTTTACACTGGGAGGACATATGCTTAATTAATAAACATCCTGACTACAAGTTAGGTAAAAAGAATTGCATTCAAAAGAATCAAACCCAGCATATTTTTTTATTGAAGAATTTTGTAGCTGTACTAAATTTATCTACTCATTGGATTTTTGAGATATCAAAATTAAAATCATAATACATTTTCTCATTATTATCATAATTTTCTATAACATATTATCCAATAAGTTATCTTCAACAAACAGTCAGGGTACTACTTGTACAAGTTATTTTTATTCATTTGAAGAAGTAAATAATAAGATACTTATATAAGTAAATTTGTTATATTCATATTTTCTTATAAGGTTTGAATAATCTCCCCTTAATTTTCTCAAAAAATTTACTTGTATAAGTAATTTTTTTTTACAATCCCTAAAGTTCTCAAGTTTTGGGATGTAAAAACATGCCTTAAACAATTTTTCTCTGGTTAGCTCATAATTTTTTATTAGAGTTCAAGGTTTCATCTCATTCATTCAACAAAGAAACTAATTGTGCAAGGCCTTCAAAAATTGGCCCTTGGAGGCTTGTAAATGAGCAGTGTTTTCAAGATAACAGACAAATGAGATTTTCATTGTCCATGAAATTACACTTAAATGATTAGTAAAGACATTTGCAAAGGACAGACAATTAAAAATTCTATTAGAGCAAAGAGAAATTCAAGAAAAGAAGATACCGTGACTTTTTTACTTGTATAAGTAAAAAAATCTGAATGTCTAAGGGACATAACTAAGCCATTAAAATAATTTACCTATACAAGTAAATAAAATACACTTGTATATTGTATCTTACAAATTTACTTATATAAGTACATTAAAATTTACTTCTTCAAGTAAATAAAAATAACTTGTACAAGAAGTACCCCTGACTGACAAATATACACATTCTATACAAAAAAATGATCCTATAAAGAGCCAAAATATTGACAGTTATAAAGTATTTGTGTTTTGCATTACTTAAGACAACGTGAAATGAGCAATAGAATTATTGTTGTTTACCCTGAAAACAAGTCCAATACAGGGTCTAGACAAGCATTGATGCATGCAATTGATTGAGGTAACATATTTACTGGAGCATTACTGATCATTTCCTTTCAATGAAGCCAAGAAAACTCACTAAAAACTTTCTTGTACACTTGTACAATGAGTGTTTTAAAATTGCAAACTATAGACAAACAGTAAGTGGCTACACAGCAGATGTAAAAATTGGTTATTAGCTACAACTCAACATTGTCAAGCTGCAAACCAAATATTAAATCATTCCCTTTAATATGAGTTGAGAAAACTTTGACGAAAATTTTCCATGTATGTACAATGATTGTTGTAAAATTTCAAACTATCGGCAAACAGGTAGTGTATACATCGCAGATGTAAAATTGCTTTCTTTCTGCAACTCAATATTTTAAAGTTGCAGACCAAATATTAAATTATTCCCTTTCATAGAAGCCATGAAAAATTTGATGAAGGATTTCTTTCGGACAGATGGAGTCGAGCGGTTACTAGACCTGATTCTGCCTTTGTCGATGCAGGTAAAAATGAGAACAGCCTATCAGCCTGCATTGATTGTACAATAATCTCAGCTGTGTCATGTAAAATATTTCAAAAAGTTAAGCCACTTCTTATGTTGTCTCAAAAAAGTCAGATTTTAAGTCTCGGAAAAATACCCTGTTTTAAGTTCGGAGCCCATGTTTTCCTACTGACAAATTAACTCTTTCAACTTATTCCAATAACAAACAATAAATTGTAGAACTATACAGAAAGTAGTGCACCTGAATCTAACAAACCATATAATATACACTATAACATACCTGTTGTACCACTGGTATAGCATACTGTCATTAAATCTGTTGGTTTGGGAGGCTGGAAAACAATCATAAAATCATATAGTGTAAACTGATATGTTTCAAAAGCCTATTTAGAAGACTCTCTTGTATTTCAAGCTTGGCCTTCGTAAAACATAGATTTTACTGTCGCAAATATCCCTTTGCCTAGCTCTGTGTTTTACGAAGACTTAGCTTAAAATACAATACAGTTATCTCCATTCTAATGCTACATGTTAAAATAAATTCCTTTTAATTAAATATTTTGACATAAAAATGCCAAAAATGAAAAGTCCGCGAAACTGTTACATTTTCTTTGGCACATAAACAATGTGACGTCATAGGACTATACTCCCAATGTCTATATAAACACTTGACGTATTCACACATTTCTTATGCTTCTAAATGGTTTAAATATTGACTATAAGAAGATGTTCAGGCACAAAATGCCACTTTCTTGTTTATTTTTTGGGAAATTACATACAAAGCAAATTCGGAATTCAAAATGGTGGCCTTTCCTTAATTACTGACTGGTAGAAAGTAGAATCTAACCCTTCAAAATATTTGTCATCGTCCAAAGAAAATTATCGTTACAAACGAATTTCATTAGAACTAAACGTTTACAGAAGCTATACAAAAATGTAACCTGTTGAACAGATTTACTTTAGCAATTTTCACGTTGAACAGACTGATTTAAGAAACTTTAAAGTTGAATAGAATGATTTTATAACTTTAAAGTTGAACAGATTGATTTATGCAATCTATTACTGTAAACCAACTAATTTTCCGACTTGAAAAATAAAGCGATTATAAATCGTCGTGAATATGTAAAACTTGGATCTTTCCTTATTTAACTTCATCAAGTAAATTAGAAAGTCGCGAAATTAAATCACCGCGAGGTGGACTGGAAGAGCTAAACGCAAAATAAAGTATCCACGAATATAAGTTGGTTTACAGTATATATAAACTATCATATCAGTTTCTAACTGGAATTGTTAAATGACAATAAGCATGATAAGTACAATTATGTATTCATATTGTCACCTCATGTGCACATTTTACATGTGATGTGTGTTTCGATATAAAAGTATGCAACAATATATAACAGATTTACATACCACTGGTGCCTGTAATGTCTGTTTACCATCAAGCTAAAATTACATGAAAAGCTGCAATTACTAGAAAAATATATACAGATTAGACCAAAAATATTTTACAATTAATTCTGTAATCTGACTTCCCATCTACTGTTTCTACATAATAATAAAGATATGTGGAATGAATGCTAATGAGAAAACTATTCACTAGAGTCCAAATGATGTGAAGGTAAGCAACTTAAAGTCATAGTTAAGCCTCCTTAACTGAGCAAAACACAGGGGACTTACTTAAATGAGCGATTTTCTAAATCACTGATTCAAGTAACATTATGTCCAATAAGGTCGGAAGTAAGAGTTGTCTTTCTTTAATAATCACCTATTTAAGTAGTACAAATTAATCACTAGACTAAGTGATTTAATTTTATTGTAGCTTTAAATATAGAATACTAATGATCCAGGGACATTTAAGTTGCTAAAATTAACAGAACCAACATCTGTGTTGATAGGATGACCGGGTCATGTCAGGTGATGACCTTGTACTAAATCTAGGATAATGACATAAAAATCACTTGTTTAAGTATCATACCTCAATTTCCTTCCAAAAAATCACTTCTTTAAATTTCATTATTTTAACAAGCATTCTGTGAGTATTGCAAGGCAATACATAGTCCCCTACCGGTTAAAAATTCATTGTAATGGAACAAAATTCTAACTTGATCTATAACTTGTCATGGTGTAAACTACATAAAATAACAAACAAACCTACCACTAAATTCTTCAAACAATTTACTAAAGAAAAGGAAAAAAATCCTAAATTTAATTTATCATTGATACAATTCTTTTAAAAAATGAGTTATTTCCCTTTGAACAGAAATCTAGTAATTAATAAGTATTTCATCAAAAATTTAATTCTAGGGAAAGGGCTTTCACTGAACAAGGAGAAAAGCTAAAATCGTAAAAATTGAACTTGACCTGTAACTTGTCATGATAAAACAATACAACAAATATCAAATCAATATCTTCAAGCATGAAGAAAAAAAGTCTGAAAAACTGATTTGCCGGACTGACAGATGGACAGACAGACGGACCGACAGACAGACAGACGGACAGAGTGCAAACCTAAAGTCCCCTTTGACTTTGTCGTTAGGGGACTAATAACCCCCACTAATTTCAACACCCCGAACAGTGAAATTTTGATTGGGAACAGTAGAATTTTATTACATAATCTATAAGATGAAACCTTGAATATTACAGGAAAAATCTGTAAAGAAAGTATCAGTTCATTATGTAAAGCCATTTTTATAGCATTTTTTCAACTAAAATAGAATTTGCAGCTAAATGATTGCATCAAAGGCATAAACCTTGTTGCTTAAAAGAAGCAAAAAGTTCATTTTTTACAATTTTACTAATGAAAAGATATCTGAACCTATGTGTTTAAAATTTTGGTAAAACTACAAAATCACAATTTGTGACAAAACTTCGAATTTGCTACTTAAATAAGTGATTTAAAAATCAATTATTTCAATAAGTCCCCTGACTGGTTTAGTCAGCTAAAAAGGCCAAGACATGCATGACAAAATGTGAAACTATTCAAACAAGAAATCCACAATCTGATTTATGACAAAACCATACACTAGAAACAATTATGATAGACAACCAATGTTTACTTGCTTTCCTCAATTCAAAGTTAATTAATTTTTCTTCAACACATGAGAGCTCAAAAACTTACAATAGAAAGACTAATTTGAAGAAAAACGTGTTAAAACATGTTTTACACGACTCTACCTTTTCAACTTTTTAAATCTATTTTGGAATTTAGAATTGATTTTAGAAATTTTGAGTTGATCCCATCTGTTTAATTCAGTTAGATCAGTTAGCTTTTTTTTTATATGATTTATTATAAGTATTAAAGCACTCCTCTAGCTATAATTGATATCTTTGTAAAGTTATGATGTAGGACTAGGGTTAATGTCTCATTGATGCTGACCCATATTACCATTTATTCTCTTATGAATATTAATTGAATTCTTTAAACAAACAAAATCATGAATTCTTTTTATGAAATAGACATGAATATGAAACTTGGAGCCTCTGGCCTTTGTTAGTCTTGTATCATTTTTAATTCAAGTTTCCTGTGTATAATTTGGAGTTTAGTATGACATCCATTATCACTGAACTAGTATACATATTTGTTTAGGGGCCAGCTGAAGGACGCCTCCGGGTGCAGGAGTTTCTCACTGCATTGAAGACCCATTGGTGGCCTTCGGCTGTTGTCTGCTCTATGGTCGGGTTGTTGTCTCTTTGACACATTCCCCATTTCCATTCTCATTTTTAAATCTTAAAGTGAGACACATTTGGAGTTGAATCAAGGATTGGAATTTATGTAGTCAATCAACTTTTTGGCATGATTTCTAAAGCTAATAGGTCACTTACTTCAACAGATGTAAACTTGACGATTTTGACATTACTCTTTGCGGCTAAAGATTTGGTTTCTTCACTGACATTTTCCATCACAATGATGCAGGCTAACGTTGGCATGCCTCTGGCCTTCTCCAATAAAAGTTTAATTTTGTCTTCTTTGTCCACAACAACATGGGAAATACCAACTAAAATGGATGATGAGTATGGTACTTATAACATTTGAAATAAAATATTGCAAATTCAGAAACTTTTGCATGCATCTTTTATTGAGATTTTTTAACAATTGACAAAAATTGCAATTTCAGGAAATGCTGCCCTAATTTAAAATATGAGATTTAATTTTCGCAGAACATATCCCTTCGCAATTTATGCAATAATAAAAATATCGCAAAATTTCATGAATTTACAATATATATTGAACTTTACACAATGGGATAGAAGGGACATTGTATATGTGAAGGAAATAAAATCCTTATATGCCATAACCAGTATGTCTGTTCTTCATCTGAAGGTCACAGTATGCTCTGACCTCACTGAAAGTTCAAGATGCCCCCAAGTCCTAGCTTAAAAGGAATAATTTGGTAGATGTTGACAATGATGCTTCTGTATCTTGAAGAACACATGTTTCTAATTTATGCAACTGATAAACATTACATAGTTTAACCTCACATTTACTACAAATAATATTACCCTGGTTTAATATGTCAACATATGAATGGTGCCACAAGGTAAGCAGTATTACCTTTATGTAGCACCTGAGATCACCTTGTGTTTTTGGTGGGGTTTGTGTTGCTCAGTCTTTAGTTTTCAATGGTGTGTTTTGTATACCGTAGAAAGGCTTGTATAGTTCGCAGTGGTACATAGTCCGCACCCCCTTCTCCCCACGAAATTTTAGGTAAAAAAACTTTTTGTAACTGTTAGAAAAGGTCTAAAGAAACTCCGGTAATTTCAAATCCTGTGCGGTCGTTTGCGGTATTTTCTTGGAAAAACCTGTTTTCCATCATCAAACAGAAGCTGAAACTGCTTGTTAATGATTCTAGAACGCTTCATGATTGTTAAATAAGTTTAATTCACTTAAAAAACAATTTAGAAACTTGTGTATGTTTAAACAGGAAGTTTAAAAAGCACGTGTAAAAGAAGAAATTAACCGGTGAGAGTCGAAATCCGTACATAACAGATATCACTATAATACGACTTTGAAAGTAAAACAGTTCCATCCTTTTGTAAAACAGTCTTTAATATATCTATCACATTAATGTTTGAAGGGTCTTAAGCTAATACAAACCATATTAGTCAGTATGAAACACCAAAACGGAACGAACAATAACCGATTTCGTTTTGTAGTTTACAAATTCTAAGCTGGTTTACGGTTGTCTTTTTCACTATGTTTGTATCGTTTCAATCGAGCAGATACCAGTTTATTTCAACCAATGCATTGAAAAGAAACGAGAAATTTGTAATGAAAGGTTTAGTTTTTATATTTATCAGTATTAATTTGATATTGAATAGAAATAACTTATTAATATGGATGAGTTAAAATTATTAGTTTGAAAAATGATAAGAGCGCCCTCTACAATAGAAATAACAAAGATGGCGGAACGTAAACAAACCACCTCGACCGCGAAATTGAAATTTTTCTTTTATTTCTTGCTTATTGTACTCTTTAGTCCGCACCCCGTCTGGAAGGTCCAATTTTGGAGAATAAAACCGCGGACTATACAAGCCTTTCTACGGTACTGCTGTTTGTCTTTTGATAGTTTTTCATTTCTTGGCATGGTGTTGTCAGTTTGTTTTTCGACTTATGAGTTTGAATATCACTTTGGTATCTTTCACCTCTCTTGAATACTTGATATTTCTTAGTTTTAAAACATTATTTTAACAAACAACAAAAGTATCTGGTCAATTAATTCTGATGTTACAGTGTCAATATACTACAAAAATATTTCTAGAAGATTGCTAGAAAAAGAAATTGCCTTTGAAAAGGGAAATAACTCCAAGCGAAATATTCAAAATGAAGATAAGTGATTATCAAATGATTCCAGCTGATGGTATATATATATTGACTAGATGATTTCTTTACTTACTTTGGTTTATAATATATTTGCATGCATCAGGTCCTAGTGTATCATATAATGGAACTGAAACCATAGAGAACATGGCACAGGCTTGGTCTGTTATGACCCACTGAAAAATAAGTCATAGAATGCTTGATACAGGAAATAAATATGATATTGTATACAGAGAAAATTTGCATGTGTATGTTACTTACATCAAATATCTGCTGCTGACTTCCTGATGGGAAAAAAATTATAAAGGGACATAACTTTAAAACAGTTAAAGTGACGCCACCAAAATTCAAACTTGATCTGTGTTTTGTGGTAATAAGCATTATGTATAAGCTTCATAACATTTGGTTGAGGCAAACTGAAGATAGAGAACGTAAACAAAAAATTTAGCCATTTTTCCATTTGTAAAGGGGCACAACTCTAGAACAGTTAAAGTGATGCCACCAAAATTCAACTTTGATCTGTGCTTTGTGGTAATAAGCATTGTGTATAAGTTTCATAACATTTGGTGGAGGTAAACTTAAGTTAGAGAACAGACACCAATTTTGGGACATACGTACGGACAGACGTACCTACAGCATAAAAAAACCATCCACAAAGCAGCAAAGTATACTTTTTCCTTAAGAAATGTAGCTCAAAAAACTCATCAAAGATAAAAGGCTTATATTTTACTATGCCAGAAACCTGTTTCTTCTATACAAGACTCAATATTGGCTTGAATCAAAACCTGCGCAATATATAATTAACAACTTTGATCATTTTAGTAGTTGATTTCTTTACTTGATTGCAAAGAAAGGTTTCACATAAATAACCGATTATACTGTTTATATTCAGTCAGAAGTATTCATCAAGAGTGATAAAATTATGTGATTTTCAAAAGATATTATTTCGCAAATGCCTTACAGTGTGTAACTCCAAAACATAAACAATCCCCTAGATTGACAATGTGTAATTCAATATCAACTGGATCACCTAGTTGGTACATGGGGTCCAAAGAAATGAAACAGATCTTAGTTTAATAACATGAACAATTTGCTATTTAATTTGATCTTATTACTTCAGCTCTGTTTATGCTGTATATTCCTATGAATGTATCATTTCTTGCCTCCAAACCATCAGCTATCAATCCTGATCCAAATGCCTGAGCCCTGTCATAAATCTGTAAGATATAAAGAATGCATCTATGACTGATAGTCCTTGTATACTAAATAAATATTAAACTTTTCAACACTCTGATGGATTTACAACTTGACATAATATTTATACAAATATCTGCTAAACATGTAACAGTAAAGACTGGTTGGCTCAGAGTCAGAATAATGTGTCCAGATAGGGTGACATGTCTTCCTTTAGACTGTTACCTTGTGAACTAGCATGTTAAAAATGTGGCTCAGCATGTCAGTCTAGTACAAAGCAGGTTTGAAATGGATCAAAATGGATAAAAGGTGAAAAATCTGACAAAAAATCCTTAGATTTTTTTTTTAATTCAGTAATGAACATAGTTGATATCTTATTCAACATTTAAAAGAACATTTTACTCCTAACAACAAACATAATAGCCCTATTTCTCGTTAACAAACATAAGCTAAAAGAACTCGCCAAGGAATTTGTTTTTGTCCCGTCTGATAAGGCTGCTAATAATATCATCATTGTTTGATGTAAATTTTACATTGAGGTTCTGCAAAAGGAAATCACGAATTCACCAACATTCCAACTGACTCCATATTTGGAAAATGACATCTGTAACAAACATAAACTTTTAGCTGCCTCTTTACAAGCAAAACCAGATACAATGAAAGTTCCAACTATGTACTGGCTTCCGAAGCTGCACTAAACACCTTACAAATATAGATTTATTTTGTCTTCAAGCCATTGTTCCACTACTAAACTGTCTATTCTACTTGTGTCAAAAACTCGTTGGAAGTACTTGATAAATTGCATGCTTATATTGGTGATTTCAAATCTGTTCAAAGTTTTGATTTTTTTACCCTATATACCACTTTGCCTAATAATCTTATTAAGAAAAAAAATCACACACCTAATTAAATGGGCATTTAAAAAGTGAGAATGTGAATATATATGTTCTAACTCTTTTAGGTCATTTTTTAGAAACAACAAACAAAAGGGCTATGTCAATTGGACCTGCTTTGATACTATAACTGCCCTTGAATTTTTACTAGACAACATTTTTGTTCGCTATGGAGATTCTGTATATCGTCAAGTTATCGGAATTCCAATGGGGACTAACTGTGCATCACTTATTGCGGACCTGTTTCTGTATTGTTATGAGTTACAATTTATGACTAAAATCAGCAAACCCATCGAAACAACATCTGATACAAAAATTTAACAACACTTTTAGATATTTGGATGATATATTGGCTCTCAATATTGACGACTTCAGTATGTACACTAAAGAGACTTATCCTGCTGAACTGACTTTTGATAAAGCTAATACTAACAATGAACACTGCCCTTTCCTGGATCTTGATATCTATATTTTTAACAGGAAGCTTAATACCAAAATTTATGATAAAATAGATGATTTTTCATTTCCTGTTAATTATCCATTTTTAGATGGTGACGTTCCCTTGTCACCATCTTATGGTGTTTATATATCTCATCTTGTTTGATTTGCTCGTGTATGTAACAACGTATTTGATTTTAACGAAAGAAATCTTTGTATTACTGTAAAATTACACCTGGGTTTTCGATATCATAAACTAGTCAAAACGTTTACTAAATTTTATCATCGGTACAAGGACATCATTCGTAAATATAAATTAACATGCAGACATCTTATACATTCAGGTATTTCACATCCAATCTTTTATGGTAATATTCTTTACAAAGCACAAAAATGTCGGCATTCACCTCAAAAGCTAACCAAACCTTTAAACAGACTTATTCAGAAGGGATATAGTTACGAAACTGTTGTCAGGTCATTGAAGATGGCATATTTTGGTATTAATATTGATTCTAATATGACGTTCTATTATCGTAAACCAGTATACTCACAATATATCTACCTTTAGCGCAAACGCAGTAATACACAAAAACTGATGTTCCGTGTTACGACCAACTTAATTATACTACCTGATATTCTCAATTTTCTACATCAAAACCTTAAGTTTATGTAGGCCAAGATTCAGATACAATATATTTATCTCTATTCTACAGCAAAATAAACAAATCAGTCCATTTCAATTTATTTTTCATGGTAAAATTTCATAAAACGAAAATTCCACGAAATGATGTTATTGTCTTGGCATGGCAACGAAACAAGGTGACGTCACAAGTATGTTTTCGTAAACAAAAAATCAAATGTAAATACCGGGCGTTTTAAAGCTTCTTGTCCGCCTCAGAACGAGTAAAATTACATTGGAAGAATATATATAAGTGAAAAATGCGATTAAAAAAAAATATTCATTGAATTATATGATATTACTAATATTATCAAAATTGGGTAAAACGGAACAGCCAAAACAAAATTGTATGTATAGGGCTTTCACGGTTAACAAAATTACTGAATTTGTCCTATTAGAATCGAAATAATTCATGGCAGCCATAGATTTGTTTTCATTTAACCATGGGTTGGGCATTTATATTCGTATTTTACCCCTCGCTAACGCTCAGGGTAAAATAATCAAATATAAATGCCCAACCCATGGTTAAATGAAAACAAATCTACGGCTGCCATGAATTATTTCTTAATTCACTCATAGGGTCTTTGCATCGGAAATAAAACATTCGTTCTAAAACCAGTTATTGGCATGATACGGGTTATGTTATTCTCATATATTTTATGATGGTATGATACTATAAAACCCCTAACGGATTGTGCTTGATTTTCATATGATGAAGACATAATCTTTCAATCAGTTTAATTGAAGTCTGCTGCCTGTCAGTAACTACTAGTAGTCCTTTGTTAATTTATGTATCGTTATCATTTTGCTTAGTTTCTTTCGTTATCCTTTCTGACATTGGACTTGGACTTCTTTAAAACTGAGTTTTTCTGTGCTGTATGTTTCTTTATTCTACATTGGCTAAAGGTATAGGGGGAGGGTTGAGATCTCACAAAACATGTTTAACCCTGTCGTATTTTTGCGCCTGTAACAAGTCAGAAGCCTCTGGCCTTTGTTAGTCTTGTATGTTTTTTATTTTTAGTTCATTTATATGTTTTGGAGTTTAGTATGACGTTCATTTTCACTGAACTAGTACACATTTTTATTTAGGGGCCAGCTGAAGTCTGCCTCTGGGTGTGGGATTTTCTCGCTGTGTTGAAAACCCACTGGTGGCCTTCGGCTCTTTTCTGCTCTATGGTCGGGTTGTTGTCTCTTTGACATATTCCCCATTTCCATTCTCAATTTTATTAATATTTATATTACATTTAACATCTTGTCTTGAATATGTATCTAATTTGTGGCTGGACAGTAAGCATCCATCCATCCATCTTTGCTATGGTACTAATATAATTGAAGACGACAGTGTGTTTGGTTATCAATGTAGTTTGGTTACAGCTACTTTTGTCTACATTACTGATTACCTGTGGGGATCTAAATGTAACTAGTACCTACCTGCTGGTAAGACTGCCAGACATACTTATTGCTCCCTGGTGGTCTGGTGCCTAAGCATGGACCATTTTCTATAAGCAAAATGATGATACTGACATGATTTAATCAACAGAAAATGCCAAAAAGTTTAAATTGTTAAATAAAATTTGTTAGAAATCTGTTTTTTTTCCAGTTTTATTATTTAAGCAAATTAAATATCTGAGATAGCTTATTCAGTTTCCAATCTGGAGATGTGAAAAATCATATAAATTATGTATTGAAAAGTTGAACATATTGCAAGCGTATACTTTTTGCCATTTCATAAATTCGAGTTTAATAATTTAGTATACTTCTTAAATTCATAAACCTAATGCATTCACATTATTATGGTTTTTAAGAAATAGGACATAAGGTAAAATCTAAGCTAGGTGTCAAATAAAATAAAATGCTCCGCAGGGCGCAGCTTGATACGACCGCAGAGGTCGAACTCTGAACAGTTGGGGCAAGTATGGACACAACATTCAAGCTTGATACAGCTCTGAATTTGGATTGTGATTAAATATTTGACACAGCATAGGTTTCTGACACAGAATGAATGTGGTCTAAGAACTTAAAAATTTTAAATTGGACATTCACCTATTATGGTCCAATATCCAAAATCTAAATACATGGTTAGATTCAGCATATCAAAGAACCCCAAGAATTCAATTTTTGATGAAATCAAACAAAGTTTAATTTTGGACCCTTTTGACCTCAATGTGGACAAAGTTGATAACGGGGCCCAAAAATCAAAAATCTAAATACATGGTTAGATTCAGCATATCAAAGAACCCCATATATTCAATTTTTGTTAAAATCAAACAAAGTTTAATTTTGGACCCCGATTTGGACCAACTTGAAAACTGGGCCCATAATCAAAAATCTAAATACATGTTTAGATTCAACATATCAAAGAACCCTAAAAATTCAATTTTTGTTAAAATCAAACTAAGTTTAATTTTGGACCCTTTGGACCTTAATGTAGACCAATTTGAAAACGGAACCAAAAATTAAGAATCTAAATACACGGTTAGATTCGGCATATCAAAGAACCCCAATAATTCAATTTTTGATGAAATCAAACAAAGTTAAATTTTGGACCCTTTGGACCTCAATGTGGACCAATTTAAAAATGGGGCCAAAATCCAAAAACTTAATACACGGTTAGATTCAGCATATTAAAGAACCCCAAGAATTCAAGAATAAAACCCCATTGAAATTGATCAAGAAATAAGCAATTTATACGAAGTATCTTCTTTTGCACAATACTGTGCAATTGAATATTTCTTGCTATTGCGCAATACTGTACAATTGACAATTTCTTGCTATTGCGCAATATTGTGCTATTGGATATTTCTTGCTATTTCGCAATACTGTGCAATTGAAGATTTCTTGCTATTGCGCAATACTGTGCAATTGAAGATTTCTTGCTATTGTGCAATACTGTGCAATTGAAAATTTCTTGCTATTGCACAATACTTATTATATAATAATTTACACATCCTGTTTGGTGTTTATCTCCTACCATATCATTATTATTTGCTTTTAAATATTAATCAGAAATAACCAACTTAAAATGAAAAATTTTAAAAGAAAAAAAAAAGGAAAGAAAAAAAAAAGAAGAAAAAAAAAAATCCCCCCTCCCAAATTTTTTGAACCCTCTTATGATTCATCACCCCCAAACTCAATACCAGCCTTCCCTTTGTGGTATGGTACCTTGCAGTACAATTTCAGAGAGATCCATACACTTGAACACAAGTTATTGTCTGGAAACTAGAAAAATGCTTATTTTTGGCCCCTTTTTGGCCCCCAATTCCTAAACGTTTCGGGCAATTACCCCAAACTCAATTCCAGCTTTCCCTTTGTGATATGGAACTTTGAAGTACAATTTCAGAAATATCCAAACACTTACACACAAGTTATTGTCATGAAACTAGAAAAATGCTTGTTTTTTGCCCCTTTTTTGGCCCCTAATTCCTAAAATTTTGAGGCAATTACCCCCAAAATCAATTACAGCCTTCCCTTTGTGATATGGAACCTTGTGGTACAATGTCAGAGAGATCCATACACTTACACACAAGTTATTGTCTGGAAGTTACAAAAATGCTTATTTTTGGCCCCTTTTTGGCCCCTAATTCCTTAACTGTTGGTACCATAACCCCCAAAATCAATCCCAACCTTCCTTTCGTGGTATTGAACCTTATGGTAAAATTTCATGGAGATCCATTCACTTAAACTAAAGTTAGAGTGCGAAAACCAATGTGTCTTCGGACGACGCCGGACGACGCCAGACGACGACGACGCCAACGTCATACCAATATACGACCAAAAATTTTTTAATTTTTGCGGTCGTATAAAAATCGACTATGTATATAAACTGGTTACCTACATGTACAACATGTACATTAATTGTCCTTTTGCAAATGCATAAGAATGCTTCTTGCCTTTTTGGGCTACAAAATCCATGTGTTTAAACATTCTTTGCTTAACAAATTTTCGTCTCAAAGCATTCCTCAATTTAAAAGAACAGAGAGCCATCGTCCCCTGCGTTGTACATATTTTATCAGTTCCGTCCTGGACAAAATTTTTTTTGTTCTTTAAAAACTTTTTATAAGTATCAAAGAGAAATGAAGGTTTGAAAGCTCTAACAATGCAATTTTCATTGCGATAAATATTTCCAAGCGATCATGATACTTACTTGACATTTGTAATCCACGTTTAAATCCTTCAAATGTCGTCTTAACATCATCATAGTAATATTCTAACAATTTACCATCTCTACAGAACTTTGATATACGTGACCCATCCTGAAGTAAAATTAAAAAGCAAAATATGAGTTTAAGGAGATGTAGGGTATATTTACATCACTGAGACAGCAACCCAATGACCAAAAGACATCTGAGGGGTTAATGCTGATGTTTGACCACCCTTAAAGTTGAACTCCTGATAAATTCTTATGAATGCATATTTGTTATGTTATATGGTATAGAAATCAGTTGCATTCTCATAGAAACAATGATAAAATACTGTTAGCTGAATAGATTTGGATAACACCTAAAATTACAAAATTTCTTAATAACATGAATAATTTGTAAAGTGTATGACTGGTGAGGGAGATGCCAAGAAAGCAAGTCTCACAATATATCTTATTATTCTTGAATAAATGTTTGTGATGATAAATACTACATGTACATAAATACTTAAAGGGAAACTTCGCAAAAAAATGAAAAATTGATATTATGTTCATTATGTATAAAAAAGCACAAATTCATAAATATTAAAGTTTTATTCTGCTAGATAAGAGATCACCATCGATTTTAAATTTAGAGTATCAATTCTCCGCATGCGGCCATTTTGACATCCTCCCTGATAGAGACCACGATATATCTATAAACCACAAAGGACCAAAACAAGCAGTAACCTAACGCAGCCGTAATTGAGTGTATATATCTTGTCAAGCGTACGGTTGTTTTATCCGACAAGGAAAGCATAAACAGTTTCCCGGGTCAAAAAAAGATTATAATAGACATGGTTGTGCAACCTTTCCTAACTAACTTGATACGGAAAAAGTAATTATATATTTTTTTTTAAATAACTAGTGTTTTCAAACTGTTTTTTTTTAACTAAGTTTTTGAAACAAGAAATTTTAATGGAAATTAGTCAATAGTCAAAGTTCAAAGTCATAAATAAGTGTTCCGTGTAAAATTGTTTTCGAAAATCTAGTTTGTTCATAATTCTTTTATGTAATAAACTTATTTAAATAAATTCGGACCTTCCCTTATCTGATCACTAGCATGGCTAAAGAAATCCCAGAGGTATTGTGAGGTGACACGTCCAGGTATTCAAGCGATTTCCTGTCGGGCTTTAAAACTCTTATTACACAATTACATAAAGCAAGTTCGTGCATCACTTCAATTCTGAGGGTATTGATCAGTGTACACGGCCGACTAACTTGCCGGTAACTTTCCATTTTGAAACTATCAGGTGTAATATACATCTTTGTCTTGCGTGTCCGATAGTGATATACTAGTCATTACTAAACTCATACGCTTGTTTATAAATAACATTTCTGGTGTAAAGAATGATATTTATGAAAATCGAAATGATTCCAAAAAAAAGATGTGATAAAATAAAAAATCTATTTACATATTTTCCAAGGGTAAATTGGGCAAAAATGTAAGTATATACTCGTTGTCAATAAGTATGGACATTTTGAAACATACAAATATTGATTTAACAAAATGTACGCACTTGTCGATCATTGGTTTATACGCCTAGATAGAAAGTTACGGAACTATAGATAGTCGCAATTTAGAATATATACATGTAAATTGAATATACCAGAGAAACATCCAGAACCAATCTGATTTAAATACAGTTCGATATCTAACTTGCTTTGGTTCATCGAAGTTATGGACATAGTAAAATCACAGATTTATTTTTCAGTAAGATTATTTTGAACAGTTTAAGAAATTCGTCATCATCACAATTGTTGGGTATAATGTATAATAATGTGAACATGGTTCTAAAAGTACCGGTGTACCTGATGTCAATTTTCCTGTTCCGACATGCATGTAATATATATGCCACTGAACGTACACTAATGATCCCCAAAAAGCCTATTTGAAGAAATAAAGAAACTTCACTGCGGATAGACTGATAGTAGTTGTATTAACGTTCGGTCAGCTAGAGGGTTGATTAATTTATTTAGTTAGCTTGTGGTGGTAATAAACCATTCCCAATATTGCACTAATGCATAAAATATCAAATGAGAGTAATATAAGAGAAAATATAAATACGAAAAGTCGCATATCTGGTACAAAAAGTCTCACCATGAACTATAGGATTTTACGTACGATTGTCATTCTTAATCGAAATAACGGACAGTCATTTAAATACATGCATGTACGCTGTGATAAAAAGGGGTGTCGCAGTTGCATATTATTCATCATAAATCTATTTCAAGTTTATACTTTCCTGTTATTTTTATAAGTTAACGCAGAGACATGTATACATCTCTAGCTAACGACAATCAACTATATAAATATCTGAATCTGATGTGATTTACCGTTCATCATCTCTTTCTTTTTCTCCATTTTTGTTATTTTGGCAGGAATATAAACATTGTAAGATATACTGTTCCCAGGTTTGGGGGGGGGGTTGGTTGGAGTTCATGTCTATTGAAAGTTACAAAATAAGAACGGTGTATTTATGAATTTACAAGAAGAATTCTGTTCTTGGACGTAGTTTTCCTCTTTTTTTTTAGTTCAGTGATTTAAATTGAGAAAAAAAAATCTAGTCAGAATTTAAATTAAATCGTTCCGGCAATCCCCCACCTAAGACGCCTCTAAAATCATGAATGGTCATGCTTCACAATCATCAGAATTTTCTTTGCATTGGTACATTCTGTATCAGTAGTGATTAACCTTGACATTTCTTGGTATAACAGAGCTACTTGTATATTACCTGTATGTGGTTAGGTGATCTTAGTTGACGTCCCATGAGGTCTTACGTATACAGGTTCTCATTTATAATGGTTTCTGATATAACAATTAGGTTTTATGACATTCACACTTCTGCATGTTCTGTATACCAAATTCTTATCTTTTTTCAGACCGAATGAGGATGTGAATATTTTCCAGGAAAAATATTGAGTATCAAATTAATTTCAGGATTTTTTTTCTTTCTTGGTATTAAATCACAGAAATTTAAAGAATATACTGCTTGTCCGTTTTAGGAGTATTCTTTTCAGTTTAAACAGACGCATATATGTCTCTGGTTTAGAGTGGGTTTATGAATAAATGATAAGTCTTGCAAAGGTACAAGATATAAAGCACATTGAAAATTGATTCTGCCGGTCTTTCTCCATTCAAAAAAGGAAAGCTGATGTTAGATTGATTCTGTTAATTTTTTAAAACATCGTTGGTCAAATAGCTAAAGAATTTATACGTTGTGAGATTTAGAATATTTTAATCAGGGCATTCCCGATTAGGTAAATGTAGATCGCTTTGGACGGACCAATTATATTAATCTAACTGATAATTTTCTCTGCACATTTAAATAAATATTCAAGGTTACCGATGATTATTTGAAATAGTACAGTTTTGATTTATACGCTCCTTTTCGTGAGCCATTTTTATCTATAAAATTATTTAATTGAAAGTCATTCAGAATTTCGATGTTACAACAAATTGATCACCTATTTATTAAAAAATTGAGCTAACGCAAAATATTAAAATATATATAACGGCGATTCAGTTATTTTGCCACCATATTCCTCCCCAAATAATTAAAAAAAATATCCTGTCTCAAACCTGCACTTCTGTTTTATCCTTTTTTTTCCCCAATGTTTTTCATACTTACAACGGTGAACCCTTGAGGCCAAACAAAACTCTTGTGAAGATCAAAAGATTAAAATTACATAATGCTAATCTTTTAATAACCGTGAGTTTAACCACGCCTTTACCAGGTGGTGTCATTATAATACACATGCATTGTATTTACACAGTACTAGACTGAAGCAAGGATTTGTATAGTAAGACAAATCCCGGTCGACTGAAGTAATAGGTGAGAATACAAACATGCATTTTTATTACACTATCAGTTATATATGTTTGTTCAACATATCCGTCGGAAAAAAAATCATAAAAACATTCTATTGTATGATATACTTTTATTACTATAATCATATCAGAAATCCTTAAAATATAAAAGGTGCAATTTAATTTTAAAAGTTGCACGGCTGATCACTTTTCTTTCTGAATTATTATTTGGTTAATAGCTACGCCAAAAGTCGTCGATGTGCTTTAAATCGTGTTATAAGATGATTAACGAACAAGACTTAAAATGAGATTAATCCACTCCCGGCATGCAAAAAGACTTAAACTACTTCACAGAAGTCAGGAAGTTCGAATAAATAAAATTAATAATTCCCAATTTTCTTCTTTATTAGTGTTCATATCCAGATAAAACTTGGTGAATATGTTTTTTATGGTATTATGAACATAATAAGATGATAAGTAAAAAATCGCGAATTTTCCCTTTAAAAGCATTTTTGCTTGTTTCTGAATCCTGTTTATTTCATGTATCAGATTTGTATACTATGTATTGATTTATTCGAATAAAATATTGTTTAAACTAACTTGCTACATGTAAACTAAATACTTTGACTGAATTTGCACATTGTCCTGAACATGCATGAAATATTTGCTACTGGACGTTAAGCAACCAACAATCAATCAATCAATGAAATTGCATGGATAAGCTGCTATAAAATTTAAAACACAAAGTGTATTCCTTCTACCAATAAATCATAGCACAAACCTGTGGGTGTTGAAAATTGCTCTTTAGCATGAAATTCTGTCTGGGTAGTTAGAATGTGTTAATTAGAATTTTTTAAAGATTTTATTATGTTTACCTCTAAGATGTTAGCCTGGTCATTTATATCTATAGGTGGTATAAGTGGCTCTGGTCGTGTGGCAATGTAATAAGTGGCGGCAGCCGCTGTAACAGCTGTCACAGCCCCTAATGTTACACCTAATGCACCTCCAGTATCTCTTAAATGCTGCATCTGAAAATAAACAAGATAAAAAATTTTTAACTCAATATGTTTGATCCATATCATTTCCATTATCGAATACTCTTTTACTATACTCTGATTTCTCACGTCATTTGAACGTTTTATAGGTTAATTATAACTCGATCAATGCATCTTTGAACTGATAAAGTAATTGCGACTGGTTGACATTTTTCAAACACCCGTCTTTATTCTTATGTACATCATGTACATAATCCAACCCTGCCTAAAGAAATATATTAATTTTATCAAAAACATTTATTGAAGCAGTCATAAGGAAGTTATCCCAATTAGAATATTCATCCCTTAGCTCAACGTATTGACGTAGATTTTTTGTCCAACAAACACACAAATGACGTCAAATAACGTCACCTAAAACCAAACACTTTGACGGAAAGATAATGATTGGAATCAAGTATATTATTCAAGTCCAGACTCTTTTAATTTCAAAAGTTTGTTTATTTATCCTCAAGTTATCTGAATATTTTGACTTCTGACTATCATATACTGTTTCATTTATTCCTATAATTAAAAATGAATACTTTCATGTACAATGACAATTGGAAATAAAATGTAAGAAGAATTTGTGTCTCACATTTCTCCAAAAAGGGACATTTTCAATTACCAATTTCAATACCAATACAAAATAATGCAGTTCCCAAGGGGATCTAACATTTTACTTTTGATTGCACCGAAATTTTATTTGCCCTTTTTGTGGTTGAACATAACATTGCTTTTAATGTAAACGTATTGCTAACCTATTCACTAGCTTATGCTTCCTTAAAGTAAAATTGCGACTAATTTGACAGTTTCAGAAAAAAAAAACACTAACATAAACAATAAACTGCTTCGTCGAGCGCAGCTGGATACGACCGCAGAGGTCCAACCCTAAACAGTTGCGGCAAAAATGGACACAATATTCAAGCTTGATACAGGTCTGAATTTGAATTGTAATTAAATATTTGACACATTATAGGTTTCTGACACAGAATAAATGCAGTCAAAGAACTTGAAATTGGTTGTATGATTTGAATTTATATTCAATTGAAAATTTCTTGCTGTTGTGCAACACACTGTGCTGTTGCTCAATACTTAGTAAATCTGTTTTCAGACTATATACAAAGCATTTGCAAAATAAATTGTGACCCCCAATTTTTTTCTTTAGAAAAATTGACAATTTCTGAAATCTTGAGGAAAAAAAAATTGACCCCCCCTAAAAAAAAAATATTTGAAGAGAATTTTCTTTTTCTAAAATGTGGTACAAATTAAGAGACATCCATACACTTAAACACAAGTTATTGTCTGAAAACTAGAAAAATGCTTGCTTTAGACCCTTTTTGGCCACTAATTCCTGAAAGGTTTGGGCAATTACCCCCAAAATGAATCCCAACCTTCTACTTGTGGTATTAAACCTTGTGGTACTAGAAAACTGAAACTAGAAAAATGCTTGTTTTGGCCACTTTTTGGCCCCTAATTCCTAAACGGTTGGGACCATCACCCCCATAAACAATCCCGTCCTTTCTTTTGAGGTATTGAACTTTTTGTTTAATTTCATGGAGATCCATACACTTAAACTAGTTATTGTCCGGAAACCAAATGTCTTCTGATGCTGCCGCCGCCGTGATACCAATATGCGATTTTTTTTAGCGGTCGTATAAAAATGCCTAGAGCCCATACTGTGCAGAAATATTTGTTGAAAAGTGTAGAATGGATAAATAATCCATGATTCTAATAACTTAAATAAGTCCCTATGAAGCAAAAATAAACAACTAAAAATAGACAAAAAGCACCGATATAAAAGTACTTGTAGGCACTGACAGCTATATATAAGGCAGATTTTACAGTATTGTGTTCTGCCTCCTACTTCCATGATAAATAATTAAAGAAGGCATTACACGAAAAAAAATTATATTTTCTGAAAATTTATTATCAGTAGATCATAATTCTTCAAAAAAGGAGTAAATAATGTAAGAGATTATTGAATGGTTGCCAAGGAAACAGGATACCCACATTTTCTCCTTTTGCACCCTGGTCCAAAATTTCATTAATTTTGGTTTAAAGCCTTTAACCAGCAATAAAACCAAAATAAATTCTGAAAGGTAAAGGGTTTAGGAAGATATTCAGCATCTTTCACATTACTATTTCTAATATATTAGTGGAAAAAAAATATGTTTAAGATGATGGACATGTGACATATGGAAAATGGGACAAAAGTTTATGTTTTTCAAAGTAAATGACATCTAATACACAGTAAAAAGAATTGAATAAGTATAAAGTTGCATGTGTTGCCAATATTTACTTTTTACTAGTTTAATTTGTGCCAGATTCTTAAAAGAAAACATGTTTTGAATTAAGGCTGTTGCTAATGTGACGGAGACAAAAATGATTAACGTTAGCGACATTTGGACATGTCACATTAGCAACAGCATCTTTAAAAAATAAAATGTATGCACACAGTCGTGCTTTATAAATGCTTTGAGTAATTAAATTGTACAGTCTGGTTTAGAATATCTAAATATACAGAATGTCATTGGCAGGTTTACTTTGTATCAAATGAATACACAAGAAACCAATTTGTAATAGTAACATTAGCAACATCTTCTTCAGTAATACATTAAGAAAATTTGCTATCTAGATGGGTCGCACTAAATAGGGCCAAAATTGTTACAGGAGGTGAAAAATAAGATTCATGATATCTTTATCGAAAAAGTTTTCAGATGTAACTGAATGATTCTTCTAGATCTGTTCATATCTTTAGTCGTGAACTGAGATGTTGATATGATATGAGTACCAAATGCAATAAGAACTGTTCTTTGTACCAGACTGACACACCAGATTTTATGGATGGATGGATTAATTATTGTTTAACGTCCAGTGTCAACCTAGTATGTGCACATCAGGACGAGAACAAGTTGATGTAATATGATCTCTGCTTTGTACTAGACCGACACGCTTAGATGGATTTTCCACAAAGACACATGTATTATACAGACTCTGTTGCCTCTGTAAGCTGACCTTTGCTTTTACTCCTAGATGCTTTTGGCTTGGATGAGAAGCAGCAAAGACCCAATTTTAATGTCTTATTTTATCTGGCTACGAATTTAACCTGCAACCTTTGGCACTCAAAACAGAAGGGGGATATGGATTATTTATGAAGCACAAGCCAAAATGCCCATGTAATGTCTACCAAGAAACATCAAACAACATAAGAATGAACAATTTCAAATCAATTCGCAGTGAAGATGGAAATACCATAGTGATCAATGCCTCAATGACTTTCACCATGGATTTTGGTAAAGAAAGTCTTTTGTAGTCTTCAGAACACCTTGCTTTGCCCATTTAATTCATGATGCATTTGCATTCAAAAGTCGAAAATACTGCCTAGACTAAGAAGCTTAAAAATATTTTAATGTTTGAAAAAATTATCGTCTCTGTTAGTTCTGGAGGACTGCATCTGAAAGAAAATAAATTGAAAATATTACTGGTATATGAATACAATTTAAAAAATGAACAACTATTAAAATTTTTAAAATGTATTGAAGTACTGCCTTCAAATTTACTTCAATCAAGACATAGTTTTTTGCCGAATGCTTTCAGTATATATGGTAATTAAAGATATGTTGTCATCATTAATTATAGCTAGAACAGTTCAAGTTACCATCTTCTTTTAATGATTACCCGAGATTATGCTAAGATACCCCTGAAAATCAAATGTATGTTTACCATTTGGTAAATTTGTCAGTGAGCAATGACTTTTATGCCAATTTTGACAATTTTAAGAACTGGACTAATTTTGGCAATTAATGAACTAAGTTGTTATTATAAAAATAGAAGATGTGGTATGAAGCTCTTCGAAAAGGAAAGACTATTACCTTCAAATATATATAGTAATGAGCGCCCCTTCATTACTATATTAGACTGTTTTAATTTTCTTATATAACATCACATCAACAATATACTGTCCCAAAGTAACGATCGCTACATAAAAATCTGTCCATGTTATACCGTTCGCATCAAATTATTAAAAGAAATGTATTTTGATGAACTAGAAGACTCAACTGTACGTAAAATATGGTCAAATCTCGTTGGGAGATGAAAAACCAAAACAAAAGTTTCTTAATGTGACATTTAAATGACATTACTTGATTCAACGTTTTGTTGCGAATGTCTTTTTGATGGACGGAATACAATAAAGGACCTCGTGTAACGATATAACAGACAACTTACCTTCTTTGCTTTCCCATTATGTGAGGGAACCGGCTCCGCATCCATTTCTGCAAAGGGCGATATCGTAACTCCTATACAGGAGAGTTACAGATCTAAATATATATTGCTCACGTGACATTGATTTGGACGGAAACGTAGAGCAGTAACGTTCGCAAAAACTAAAACAGCCAATGATATTGATTCCGAAAGTCCTTTGACCCCCTTTCGTCATCAAAATTTAATGTGATTGCTATTTATATCAATTATTTATAAAACCCGAGTTAAAAATAACAACGGGCCGTCTGAGAACCAACAAATAAATTGCGATCGTAACATACCACAATGGACGAAAAAGATGTGACGTTCGCAATAATATTATTAAATTACCTTTTTTAGCCTTTACCAATAAAAATGTGCCTTAGAATTATAATTAAAACACAAAAGAATACTTTTTATTAAAATATAAGTCCATGTTATTAGGCTCCACTTAAAAATAATACTTTAAAATTCCACTCCAAATAAGCTAGATGTCAGTCAAGTAGGTCACAATGTCTATTCAATGTCCAATATTTTGAAATTGAAAACCCACTAATTCTAACAAAAAACATAAACACAGGGTGATTTTTATTTTTATTTACTCAGAAAGACACCTTTTATTAAATAAAATAATGCATTACTTCATTTCACACTCTGTTTCACAGTTTCAGCAATACCTTTTTTGATGGATACAAAAAAGCAATACTTCCTTTTTATTGTAAAATCTGCCATATATGTAGTTCAAAGCCAATGTGAAACAATTCAAACAAGAAAACTATTGACATAATTTAAAACAAAACAATTTATAAAACACAAATATGACAGAAATGAACAAATGACAAACACTGTACAACAGGCTCCTGATTTGAGAACGGCACATAAAGAATGTGGCAAGGTTAAAGTTGTTTGTGAGCGTTCATCTCTTCCCTTAGCCTGGGACAGTGTTGTAAAACAGCATACTATCAATAAAATATCTTCCATTAATCATTCAGAATAAGCTCAGGATTAACCTGTCTTGATATATAAAAACATTAACATGAAAGCTGCCAGCTGAGAGTCTCCTTCATTCAGAGAGGGCCAAACAAAATCCTGGATTCCTGACACGTTTTTATCATATAGATGCGCTTTTCCGCATACTGTGGGCGACCTAATAACTAAATCAATCCTGCACATGTATGAAAATTATCCCAAAACATACAAAATGGATTAATCGCAACCTTATCCTGGATTCATTGCCTAGTTAACTTTTAAATTTTCAGGATCGGAGCTCAATATTTGGAAAATTTTAGTAAGATTCATTTGGCCAATAGAGATGATTTTTACAGGCCAGAAAGCAATTTTGCAAGCCTGGGCTGCTGCTGCTGTGCCTGTGGTTAAGTGTGAAGACTGCATGCAGTGTCCAAAGCAATTTCCTTATTTAATGCCTACCCACTGAGCTGGGGCTATTACACTAACATATCAGTCCTGGCACTAAGCGACCAAATACGAAAATCGGTCTTGACACTGCAATTTTTCCCAAAACTGGCAATAGGGGTTATCCTAGTCGACTAGGGTTATCCCATCCCATGGCCATGTGTTGTCACGGAATAGAAGTTCCTTCATAATATAAGTTCCAAAAGGAAAAAATATTCTGGAATACTATTTCCACAGGAATAAATATTACAGTATTTGTTCCTAACGGAATAAATGGTATAGAATATTTGTTCCAACAGGAATATGACATTGTTTATAACAAAGTCTCCAGTGGAACTTCTGTTAGGCGGAACAAATATACGTTGACAGTGTAAGACACCTTACTAATATATGATTATTTTCGTTGATGTGTCAATTTACGTTTTAAGAGTCCTGGACAGCAGTCTGTGATCAACAACGGTGGACTTTGGCCAATGTTTATCTCAGTGTCACATTTTACTGGTACTAAATAGCAGTTTACGGTAACAAAACAAAATTCTTCGGAAACCAGTATTTGGCGGGAAGTCTATAAAATCTTGATTGCTGTCCGACCAATCATGTAATATTTCCGTAATAATTAATTAATAATGAAGTCGTACCTGAAATTTAAGAATTCATCCCACTACTGATCGTCTGCTCTAAGGGAGCTACCATTTGATTTTATTTCTAGTTGTAATCTCTGTCCTGCCTTTTTATTTTTCACTCTATAATTTAAGGATGACAATTTATGTAAAAAAAGTCAGGATAAACTAAGGGTGCTACCATTTGATTTTTATGGAGGGGCTAGGATGAAATTTGAAAAAAATAGACAGGACAGGAGTTTTGTGTAAAAAAACAGGCAGGATGAGTCATTTGCAAAAAAAAAAGTCAGGACGACAATTTAGGTAAAAAAAAGACAGGATAAACTAAAACAAAAAAGGCAGGACCGAATAGAGTGAAAAATAAAAAGGCAGGACAGAGATTACAGTTTAAAAAAAAATGCAGGACAAAATTTTTCATCCTAGCCCCCTATTATAAAAAAAGGCAGGACCGAATAGAGTGAAAAATAAAAAGGAAGGACAGAGATTACAACTAAATAAAATGCAGGACAAAATTGTTCATCCTACCCCCCATAAAAATCAAATGGTAGCTCCCTAACATTAACAATCCAAGAAAATGAGGTCAAGGTCAGATAAACCAAGGCAGAAATACATGTACACTTTTAATACAATAATTCCATACACAGAATATAGATGACCTATTGCTAATAGTATAAAAGAAACAGACCAAACCATGGAAATTCTATATTGACCAATGAACCATGAAAATGAAGTCAAGGTCAGATGAACCCTGCCAGACAGACATACCTTAAAATCATTCCATGCATCAAATATAGTTGATCTATTGCTTAGAGTATCTAAGAAACAAAATAAACAATGAAAATGAGGTGAAGGTCAAATATGATACCTGCCAGACTGACATGTGCATCGTAAAATATTTCCGATACACCAAATATAGTTGACCTACTGCATACAGTATTAGAAAAACAGACCAAAACACGAAAACTTAATATTGAGCAATGAACCATGAAAATGAGGTCAAGGTCAAATAAAACCTGCCAGACTGACATGTACATTGTAAAATATTTCCATACACCAAATATAGTTGACCTACTGCATACAGTATTAGAAAAAAACAGACCAAAAAAAAAAACAACATTGAGCAATGAACCATGAAAATGAGGTCAAGGTCAAATAAAACCTGCCAGACTGACATGTACATCGTAAAATATTTCCACACCAAATATAGTTGACCTACTCCATACAGTATTAGAAAAACAGACCAAAACACAAAAACTTAACATTGAGCAATTAACCATGAAAATGAGATCAAGGTCAAATAAAACCTGCCAGACTGACATGTACATCTTAGAATATTTCCATACACAAAATATAGTTGACCTACTGCATACAGTATTAGAAAAACAGACCAAAACACAAAAACTTAACATTGAGCAATGAACCGTGAAAATGAGGTCAAGGTCAAATAAAACCTTCCAGACTGACATGTCCATCATAAAAATATATCCATACACCAAATAGAGTTGACCTACTGCATGCAGTATTAGAAAAACACACCAAAACACAAAAACTTAACAATGAGCAATGAACCTGTGAAAATGAGGTCAAGGTCAAATAAAACACATTGTCAAGAACTAATTTGTGGACCGATTTTGATGAAATTTATAATGCTAAACGCACCCAAATGTGTTCAGTTTTTTATGGTTAACATGAAATATTTTTATTACATATCTTTACTGACAATTCATTATTTGTAAATAAATATTGAAATTAAGTGTATTATTTATTTCCTATATACGCATATGATTTTTTTGTGCAGAAATTCATGTTGATTTCTTGAAAAATTTAAATCATAAATTTATTTCCTACTTTTTCAAGAAACTGAAGACATTTCTGTATTCCTAAACAAATCATAAAGTGTATATCGACAAGTAGTAGGTATTCCTATGGGCACTAACTGTGCCCCTTTAATAGTAGATTTATTCCTGTATTGCTATGAATCTCATTTTATGACCAAACTCAGTAAAGACACGTCATTGTTACATTTGGTTGATACATTCAACAATACATTCCGTTATCTAGATGATATTTTTTCATTAAATAATCCAGAGTTCTCTAATTATACTACCGAAATTTACCCAATAGAACTTACTTTAACTAAATCTAACATAAACAGCAGCAGTTGTCCTTTTCTAGATTTGGACATTTCAATCTCTAAAGGAAAACTCCATACGAAAATTTACGACAAAAGAGACGACTTTTCATTCCCTATTGTTTTCCTTTTTTAGACGGCGATGTTCCTTTGGCTCCATCATACGGTGTTTATATATCCCAACTCGTTTGTTATGCCCGTGTGTGTAGTGATGTCATAGATTTTAACAAACGTAATCAATGCATCACTAGTAAATTATTAAGTCAGGGTTTTCGTTACCATAAATTACGTAAAACTTTTACTAAATTTTTTCATTGATACAAAGATTTGATTAGTGAATTTGGCTGATTTTAGTCTGATGCATGATTTTTTATTATTGTTTTTGGCTTTTAATTAGCTGTCAGTAACTGCGAGTACTCTCAAATTGTACTTTCTTGTTTTTTTTACCTGTTGATACTAATTGTAATGACTTTTTGTTATTTAATGTTATTCAGGGTTATATCTGGTCTATATACCAGCTTTGATAAGTGTTTGGTATTACTATAAATTTTCACTTCGTACTATGAACATCAAAATTATTTATTTTGTAAAAATATTTCCTTCCTCTATTTGAACTGTACACGTATATCTAACAACAAAATTATTTTCATTTACCTGTGTTTAAAGTTATTGCAAATGGCTGATATTTTTGTTCGAGCATATTGTTTTTCTTAAATTGTTTAACATTTCATAGCGGTATAAAATGTTACTTTTATTATTCTTCCCTTAGTTTATTTATTTTGTATTTACATTGTATCATAGGTCAAATTTATTTGTTCAGTGTATGTTCACTGGTGTTATTATGTCCTTTGATTGAGTTAAGCTATTTCAGTTGATATTTTATAGTGTGTCTTTCTATGTTGTGATGTTACACTATTGTTTCAGAAAAAGGGTGAAGGTTTGGTACCATTAAAACGTTTAAACCCGCTGTATTTGTTTGCACCTGTCCTAAGTCAGGAATCTGTTCAGTAGTTGTCGTTTGTTGATGTGGTTCATAAGTGTTTCTCGTTTCTCATTTTTTATAAAGATTAGACCGTTGGTTTTCCCGTTTGAATGGTTTTACACTAGTAACTTTTGGGGCCCTTTATAGCTTGATGTTTTGTGTTATTAAATTTGACTTTGACCTATAATGGTTTACTTTTATAAATTTTGATTTGGATGGAGAGTTGTCTCATTGGCACTCATACCACATCTTCTTATATCCATTAGAAGATTTATTAAAACTGTATTTTTATATGAATTTCCAAAAAGTGAAACAGCTTTGACCTAAGATTATAGTTGTGACATTCTTACAGTCTCAATCAAGACAACTGTTAGAAAAGACAAGTCTCTTGCCTCGCCAGACAAACTCGGCAGATCCATGATCTCATAGTAGTGTTTGTGATACCCCTTGTCAAAACGAAGTTGAATTCATTTGAAATGGCGATGAACATTCAGTGTCTCGCCTACTTTTGCTGTTAATCGCAGGCTCAACAAAAATGAGGAAAAAAATTAATAAAAATATTCCTCTCTATATACTATCTTTTGATTGTATTAAAGTAGCTTCTGTCCAAGTTTGGTAAAAATCCAGGATAGTTTATGAATCTAATAAATGTTTTAAAAACTTTAACTGCAGACTGTATGTAATGTTAACTGGAAGAAAAACTAAGTCCATTTATAAGTAAAATAAGGACAATATGGAACAAAATTTTAACAAAATTTCCTTCTAGATACTAGCTTTTAATCATAAACAAGCTTCTGTCCAAGTTTGGTACAAATCCAAGATAGCTTAAGTTGTTAAAATTTTAAAAACTTTAACCACAGAGTGAATGTAATGTTAACTGGCAGAAAAACTAAGTCCATTTATAAGTAAAATACTGAAAAAATTATATTTTTTTTTACAAAATTTACTTCTGGATACTATCTTATGATCATAAACAAGCTTCTGTCCAAGTTTGGTAGAAATCCAGGATAGTTTAGGAAAGTAAATAAAATTTCAAAAACTTTAACCACAGAGTGAATATTTGTGGACGTCGACGTCGACGAAGGAATGTAGGATCGCTATGTCTTGCTTTTTCGAAAAAAGTCGAAGGCTCAACAAAAATTATTGTTAACCAAACATGAAAATAAGGCCAAGGTCAGATGTACTTCATCAGACAATCATTTTCACCTTACAATCATTATGTACACCATATATTGTTGACCTTTTTCTTAAAGTATCTGTCGTGAGAAACAGACCGAGAACAGACCTAATCATGAAAACTGAATGTTGACCAAATGTTGCTGGATAAGCCAATCAAATTAAAGAATTTTTTGTATCACACTCTGTGCAGTACGTGTGATATGAGAAATATCTCTTCAAGTGAAAAATAGACAACAGGCAACAATTGTAAGAGAAATATCCTAATGTAACACATAATAACTGTCAAATTAATGTGTAAAAAAAACACACTTTTAAATGGTCATTGCACCTTAAAAATAGAGTCAACTAAGACAATGGTAAAATGCCAGATGAATCCCGACCATAAGGCAACTGCGTACCAGATATGGATTATCTAGTTCTTCTACAGTCTGCATGGAAAATGAAGTTTTATACAAAGAAGCCTCCATTTACAAATTAGATCATTTTAGCATTCTTGTTCTATTTAAATCATTGGCAGCCAATCAGGTAATCATCAAGTCCAATGTAATATATTCTGTAAGGTAATGCATAAAGTATCATTTGTGTCAAGTCTTGAACAGTTCTAAAAATTTAAAGAATGATGACACAAATTTAGTGATGGAAATGTATATCAGCTGTAACATACCCTCGACCACAGAAACCTCTTCCCCCTTTTTTGGGGACTCAAATAAAATATAAGATAGCTTTTCTAAAATAATTTTATTATTTAAATAATTTATATTATTTTCATGCATCATAATTACAAAATACCCAAATGAAACAAGACACAATCTGCTCATCACTGAGTGAGGTGTGTATAAATATGAAAGAAATTATAATACTAATTAGTTTTTGGTCACCTTTAAAAGTAAAAGGAGGAAAAGGGTCTGCATCATGGGTTATAGGTATCATTAGTAAAATATCAAAAGTATACAAAAAAACTGACAGCGCTGAGGATTCTTAATTTCCTGAATACCAGTTTTCAGATTGGTTGTTTTAGAAAATCATGTCTGTTTTCAGATGCATGTACTAAATTTTGTTACCCTTAGGTCATATCAAAGAATTTTGTTTTGCTCAATAAATGAACTAGCTTGAGGCTTTCCATTACTTAATACCAAACTTAAAATAAATTTCTAGAATTCCATAAAATATATGAATCCTCAGTTTGTCTCATACTTTTGAAAAAGGCAGTTCAAAAATATAACAAAGGAAAACTATGGTAAATACTACAATAAAAAGGCATAAAAATACACAAATCAAGTAATTATTTCAGTCTGATTTATCCATTAGGAAATGTGCAATAGTAAACAAGTGTTTCATCTGTTTGCTCATCCATCTACAACTTCCATCCACAATTAAAGGATTAAATGGACTTTGCCTAAACTTTCAAATAATCTTCAGTATCTGTCGGCATTGTGTACATTTTTTTCACTTCTAAAGGTTCTCCAATCGAAGAATGGACTTATCCATTTATACCCTTTTATTACTCATATTGAAGGATAGGATGGTTCAGCTGATATGAACATAGGATTTAGTTAGAGCTGATTCTGCATTCATAAATCTTGCAATTTGGTCAATCTTCAAGGACTGCATCAATATTTATTTATCATTCATTTTCTATTTTATCCTCCTAGAACAGTTAACAGCATAAAAATGTCAGATCTCATTATGTAAACTAATATTTTGAATTGCATGTACAAGCAAAATCTATTAACTCAATCATATTAATTAAGGCTTGGTATAACAAGATTTGACAATAAAAACAAATAAAATCACTAAAAACCACTAAAATAATATAAAACCAGATAAAACACAAATCTTGTTATAGCAAAACCTTATGAAATTTACATAAAAGCTACCGTGGTAATATATTAGTGTCAAAGCCAAATTTATTTTGAATTTTTGTTAATGTTATGAAAATTTTGTCATAATGAGATCCAGCTACTAAAAACAAGATTAAACTAGAGGCTCTAAAGAGCCTGTGTCGCTCACCTTGGTCTATGTGAATATTAAACAAAGGACGCAGATGGATTCATGACAAAATTGTGTTTTGGTGATGGTGATGTGTTTGTACATCTTAATTTACTGAACATTTTTCCTGCTTACAATTATCTCTATCTATAATTAACTTGGCCCAGTAGTTTCAGAGGAGAAGATTTTTGTAAAAGATTACTAAGATTTACGAAAAAATGGTTAAAAATAGACTATAAAGGGAAATAACTCCTAAAGGGGTCAACTGACAATTTCGGTCATGTTGACTTATTTGTAGATCTTACTTTGCCGACATTTATTGTTTTTTACAGTTTATCTCTATCTATAATAATATTCAAGATAATAACCAAAAACAGCAAAATCACCTTAAAATTACCAATTCAGGGGCAGCAACCCCCAACAACGGGTTGTCCGATTCATCTGAAAATTTCAGGGCAGATAGATCTTGACCTGATAAACAATTTTACTTCATGTCAGATTTGCTTTAAATGCTTTGGTTTTTGAGTTAAAAGCCAAAAACTGAATTTTACCCCTATGTTCTATTTTTAGCCATGGCGGCCATCTTGGTTGGTTGACCAGGTCATGCCACACATTTTCAAAACTAGATAACCAAATGATGATTGTGGCCAAGTTTGGTTTAATTTGGCCCAGTTGTTTCAGAGGAGAAGATTTTTGTAAAAGATTACTAAGATTTACGAAAAATGGTTAAAAATTGACTATAAAGGGCAATTACTCCTAAAGGGGTCAACTGACCATTTCGGTTATATTGACTTATTTGTAAATCTTACTTTGCTGAACATTATTGCTGTTTACAGTTTATCTCTATCTATAATAATATTCAAGATAATAACCAAAAACAGCAAAATTTCCTTAAATTACCAATTCAGGGGCAGCAACCCAATAACGGGTTGTCCGATTCATCTGAAAATTTCAGGGCAGATAGATCTTGACCTGATGAACAATTTTACCCCATGTCAGATTTGCTCTTAATGCTTTGGTTTTTGAGTTATAAGCTAAAAACTGCATTTTACCCCTATGTTCTATTTTTAGCCGTGGCGGCCATCTTGGTTGGTTGACCAGGTCACGCCACACATTTTTAAAACTAGATACCCCAATGATGATTGTGGCCAAGTTTGGTTAAATTTGGCCCAGTAGTTTCAGAGGAGAAGATTTTTGTAAAAGTTTACGGACGACGGACGACGGACGACGGACGCAAAGTGATGAGAAAAGCTCACTTGACCTTTCAGGTCAGGTGAGCTAAAAAGAAAAATATTCAAAACTAACCTATCCTTCACATGATAAAATGATGGTATGAGAAGCTTCTTTCACAAATTATTCAAAATATTCAGGAGGTCCATTCATTACAATTGGGAACCTAAAAATTTCATTATAAAATAAAATACACTCAGCCATTAGTTACAGAAGATAATCTGAAAGTTTCAATGAAAACCTTCCAATAGTATATAAGCTGTGGATGAGAGATGCAGATGATGGACAAAGAAACAAACAAATGTTCTCTAACAGCCCTTTTCATGCTCACCACGAGTGCAGAAGGTCATTGGATTTGGTCCCCAGCTGGGTCAAATCAAAGAATTGAAAATTGGTATTTGATGCTCCTGTGCTAAGCATGCAGCATTTAGGAGTAAGAGCAAAGGTTGGTTGGCGCCGAGTCAGAATAATGTGTCCGTGTAGAGTTACATGTATTCCTGTGGACTGTTACCTTGTGAACTAGCACTTTAAAAAATCCAACACAGCATGTCAGTGAAGTACAAAGCATGGTCTATATTCATATCACCTTATCATGTTCTCATTCTAAGATTTTATGCATTTAATTTGCCACTGGACATTAAACAGACATTTTCCATCAAAAAAAAAAAAAAAATCATTTTACAGGTTCCTGATTAATCTTGGATGGGTAAATAATTCTTTAGAAGTTGAGTACAATCCACAAAAAACAAACCTTAATTAATCCCTCAAAATATAGATAATGATGAATGGGAAAAAAACAAAAAACCAATCACATAAAAATAAAAAAAAAAAAACAAACTGTAAAAACTAATTATTTTCACTTGAGTGGCCTCAGATGCTGAATAATGCATTTATAATATATAAACAATTTAACCAATAAATAAAACTGACAGCCATTATAATTTTGTACAAATGTACAGAAAGTAAAGTCAAACCCAACTAACTAACCAAACATTTCTATTTGCAGTCATTACGTTTATATTTCATAAAAAAACTTGAATTGATTAACAAGGATTTTTTATATATTACCTTTAGGGTTTGGCCATCAAAGTCCTACTTTATTAGTTTTTTACCGGCATAATTCATTTCACAAAGCAGTTGTAAGACTTAATAACTTAAAAAATATATGTAAACTTTATGTAAAATGATGGTACTTTGTGAAACACTATGGCATACCATTAAAACCCCTCAAATAACAATAATTTCAGTTTTATTTTTCATCAATCACAATAAAAAAATTAAATGCAAGTAAAAATAATGAAAAAACTATTTAGAATTTGAATAATACAGCATTAAAAACAAAATGTATTTACAAATAATTCTGCTTATAAGACTAACGTCTACAGATTTTATTTCAAAAGACAGCAACAGTTCATCTGATGGTTTGCAGGATTGTTGTCCAAGGATTTTACCATAGAAGGCAGCAACAACAAGAACACTGTAAAAGAAATAAAGTTAAATTTCAATTAATAATCCTTAATATTAAAATAATCTTTCGGGAATATGATAAAATCGTAGTGGCATTTTTTAATTAAAGAAACAGACATCAGTGTGTGTAAAATTGATTTGTGTGCTACTTATATTGATTACTCAAAAATGAAAAGTATTAAAAATGTGAAGTTACTGTAACAATGATAAACCTTGATACACCAAAGTAAATTTTTCAGGACTTTACTACAATTGACTAAAAATAATTGAACAATCATTTTGAATATTGAACAAATACAGAAGCTAATGGCAAATTGATAAATTCTACCATCTTCTAACTCACATGAGAAAATATAAAATTAATGTCTAATTTGTTTTTCGGCTGTTCTATTGACACTTACTACAAAAACTAGTTTCTCCCAGATAAAATGTAGGAATAAGTTCTTTTAAAATTTATAATTAAAAAATGCCAGACTAAATGAAAGGAAGTAATACACATGTTTTTATGACCTCACTGGTTTTATCCTAACAAAATATTAGTTAGGTTATCTCCCCTTCACATTTCTTATTCAGATTCAGTTGTTATCTCCCCTACATATCTGTTATTCATTCAGTATCTGCTGATAGGGTACAATATTTTTAAATGAAAAGATTGAATACTGATTTTCTTTCAATTGTAAATTAAATATATATATAATATATTGAAATCTATTGAGGGACATTCATCACAAGATAACATAAACACATTTAAGTTGTATGTTGAATAAATTCTCACCTTAAAATAGCTATTATTTACTATCACAGCAAGTAACCCAATGGAAACCTGATGATAACCTGGAATATAAAGTTAGTCTGTTATTCTAAACTTCTCCAAAAAAATCTTTATTTCATCGTAATAAATTTAAAATAGTACTAGGATAACAAAAAATAAATGGGGAATGTTTCGATGGGACACAGATGATGCTCTGCTTGCATACAACTTTATGAAGGGACATAATTCAAGAATGGTAAAAGTGACGCTACCCAAATCCGATCTGAGATTTGTGGTAATAAGCATTGTGTATAAGTTTCAAAACATTTGGTTGATGCAAACTTGTTACAGAATGAAAACAAAAAATTCAGCAATTTTCCAATTGTAAAGGGGCATAACTCTAGAATGGTAAACGTGACACCACGGAAATTCAAACTAGATCTGTGTTTTATAGTAATAAGTATTGTGTATAAGTTCCATAACATTTGGTTGAGGAAAACTTGAGAGAACGGAAATATAAAATTCAGCAATTTTTCCTTTTGTAAAGGGGCATAACTCTAAAACAGTATAAGTGATGCCGCTAAAATTCAAACTTGATATGTGTTCAATGGTAATAAGCATTGTGTATTATGTACAAGTTTCATAACATTTGGTTTTCTACAATAAGAAAATCAACCTGTATTTCATCATATTGTATATTCCTTTTTTGGTACTTAAATCCTTTATAAAATTGATGTCAAATACTATAAAATTATTAAAAAGAAGCTTGATTACCTACCAACATGTTAACAGTATCAGATATCCAAGTCTTACTCCCAACATCATGAAAACATTATGACAACCTAAAATAAAAAAATAGAATAAATACTTGTTTTACAGATCAATCTGTCTAAGACTAACAAAATCATGCTATGTTTTATTACTTAAAAATTGATGTATATTATCATCTTCACTATATAAACTTGAGCTGCTATATTGATAGAAATTGACCATATGCAAGTGCTATAATGTATGTACATGTATAATACTGATTGATTTTGGAACATTCAAATACGAAATAAAATGATTTTGGTCTGTTTTGTAGGGTTCTTATATCAATTAATTTTGAAACAGTAACAGACTTTGCATAAGACTTTTTTCAACCCAAAATAAGTTAACAGATTTATTGATATTCATTTGCATAAGGTTGATTTCGTTCAGATGCAACTCACTTGATACCAAAGTCAGAAAACAAATGTAATGATGTAGATATCATAAAAATCAAACGCTGATAAGAAAGAACCCTTCAGAAAAAAATAATGTTAAATGCCTACAATATAATAACCATGGAATATTTAAACCTACCTCAACCTTTTCTTGGTAAAGCCTCAGACTTGGTTGGAGATTTAATTGACCATCTTCCTAAGAGCTGCTTTCCTGGCTGCCAAGGTGACTGTCCTCAATATCTTAATTCTTTTTTTAGCAATACAGTTATATACATAAAAAAAATATCAGATGTGCTTTGAAGTGATTTCCTTTTTGAAAATTTCATCAAATCATTTTTAGTGATCCATGATTTCTCGCACCCGGAATATCTATTATCTTGAGCTCTGGTTACATTTTTTTTTATTACAGAGCTCTAAATAATAGTCTTTATTGGATAGAATACATCTGATACATATTTTTTTATATAAACATGAATATCCAAGTAAAAATAGAAAGAATTTCAAGTATGTGGAGTTTAACAGAGATATAATAAATTACCTCCCCTTGACCTAAATTTCACCCTGTTAGGACTCCACATCCTTGCTATTTCTAACAAAAAACAAAAAATATAGTTAAATATAAATTATGCAAAAAATAAAAACACACAAAAGTTATATACCAAACGATTCGGGAAACCCAAAAAATACATTTTAATAAAGTAACATTTGTCTTTTTTTCTTTTTTTTTTCTTTTTTTTTTTTTAGATTATCCATTCTTAACATACTGGAAGTGTTTTAAAGGAAAAAAAGAAAGAGAAAGTTTAAAATTTCAAATATAAGTTAACCTACAACTTCTAATTTTGTTGAAAATGGAAGATCTTTACACATCTTTTTTTTTTTTTTTTTGTAAAAAATTAAACATTTTCTCAAAAGTACACAAAAATTGTCTGAATTACATTCTTTACTGTTACAGTTAAATCACACAATCATATTATGCAGCCACATATACCTGAAAAAGAAATATACCTTCTTAAACATATCTGTCAAAACTATATAAGAATTTAAATAATAAAGAATCATTAACTAAAAATTACAATTATGATGCATAAAACATTACTTTTGCTTTGTTTTAAAGTGAAATGTTGACTTAAAAGTTTTGAACTTCCAATCTTTATTAACCAAAAAAAAAAGGATGAAAAACAAGTTGCTAGTTGATGTCTGACAAATTTGTTTTTCATTTGTTTATTATACATCAGGCCATTAGTTTTTTGTTGAATTGTTTCACGTTTTGTTATGTTGGGGCCTTTTATAATTTACTTCACAGTTCAGGTTTTTGCTCATTGTTGAAGGCTACAAAGTGACCTTTAGTTGCTAACATCCATGTCATTTAATCTCTTGTTGATAGTTGTCTCATCGGCAATCATACCACATCCCATTATTCTTATATATGGAGACAAGTTAATATAACAAAAAACACATATGATTTCCTAATTATAAGTTTTGACTTCCCTTATTTATCTTGACACCTCATTCCAGATTATATATTCAATTATAACTAAAGAAAACATTAAAAAATGTAAGATCAACATCTGTACTTAAACAAAAAATGTAGTGCATAAACATGCTATTGGATGAATAGTTCATAAATCTTTGAATTGGTTCTTACCATAAAAGTCAGCTCCAGTGGCCATTCCCAGCTTCAATCCTTACAGACAAGCTGTGATGCTAACCTAAAATATAAAATGCTTAATCATTAAAAATTGTTTAAAAGGATCATTGTTGGTATACTGTATGAATATTAAATAGAAATAGTCTGTAAATGTGTAATAAATGTTGAGAACATATATATGAATAAGACAGCAATCCAACAACCCAACAAATTTTTACGTAAATAATTCAGATCCTAAACTTTACTCATATAATGGTACTGATACAATAATATGATATGAGTAGACTTCCGAACAAACTCTTAATCTTCAAACAAAGAGGACCTAATTTTTCCGAAAGATTGTATAACACATTTGAGGTTTTTTTTTTCAGAACAGGAATAACATACCAGTACTTACCAATGTATTAGCTGTATTAGACATCCAAGTCTTATTCCCCCCAAGCATGAAAACATGCCACAGAAAGAACCTAAAAAGAAATTATAATTGACACACTATATATTTTATAAATTAATTTCTATGTAACTACGTAGTAACATAAAATATACTACTAAATATAGTTCTTATTTCTTACTGCATGAACACAATAGTCTTAACATCAACACCAGTTTGTTAAATTAATATCAAAGATGGAAAAAATATAAAAATAAGTCAAAGGGGTTTATTTGGAATTTAACTGCACACAAATTATCTGCATAATTTACAGAGTTATCTCCCATCAAATGGACAATTCTTGCAGTTTTAAAATGTACTTGTCTCCCCTTGAAATTTTATTCCGATCTCAGGATTTACTATTGATATATTAATAGAAAATCTTGTTCATGTTGTTACGGCCAGTGATAATTACAATATCATAACAATGAACCTTGTATATCAAAATCTCAAACTGGTAATTATTTCATCAGTAGCATTTTGCATGCAGAAGAAGGGTGCTGTCTGTTGCAATTTTGATCACGTTTTAAAATTGTTCGGCTTAAACTTGCCTTCTTATTTTCTTGGTAAGGCCTCAGACTTGGTTGAAGATTTAATTGACCATCTTCCTAAGAGCTGCTCTCCTAGCTGCCAAGGTGGTTCTCCTCATTATCTTATTGTCAATCTATTTTGTGTCCATTTGTTTTTAGAAGATAAAGTTATATATATAACAAAATATCAGATGTACTTTCAACTAATAATCTTTATGAAAAATTTCACCAAATTATTTCTAGTGACCTAAGATTTCTCCCACCCTACATTTCTATTATCTAGAGCTCTGCTTACATTTTTTTTTTATTACAGAGCTCTAAATAATAGTCAATATTAGCTCATATGCATCTGATATTAAAAAAAAAGTACACAAACTTGAGTATCCAAGTATATAAAAATCTAACATTGAGGGAATTTCAAGTATGTGGAGTTAAACAGGGGTATAATAAATTACCTCCCTTTGACCTAAATTTCACCCTGTTAGTACTCCACATCCTTGCTATATTTAACAAAAAAAAAAACCAAAAAAACACCAAAAGATAGCATAACTAAAATTAAAAAATAGCTTAATAACAAAACATTTTTCAATAAAATATTTAGTGCTGATGGGGTAATGGTGGCCAACTGGTCTATATAAGTAGTTCAACTACAGTGTCACTAGCCTGTCAATATGAGAACCTCACATGGTAGGGGCATTTAACTTCAATCTTAATTGACTAGGGTTGCCAGTTTTACTGTTGAAGGTGATGTTTTCTATTGATTAAATAATTACCAGGCACTCTGGCTGTCCCACAAATAAAAACTGGCAGCCAAGATATACAGAATCTGCTGAAAGTGGTGTTCGACTCCAAAAATCAATCAATCTACTTTCATCAAGATGTTCTTCAGCTATGTGTCTTGTAAAATATTCTTAAAAAATATATCCTTTGTTACAAGCTCAGCTAAAAATTACGAAAAGGTGAAAAAAAAATATATATCTAACAATTTGCAAAAAAATACATTTCAATAAATAACATTTTTTTTTTCTAATTTTTTTTTTTTTTTAGATTCTCCATTCTCAAACTACTATAAGTGTTTTGACTAGACATGGATATATATGGAAAATTGAAAGAAATTTTTGAAATTCTAAATACAAGTTAACCTACAACTTCCAATCTTGTTGAAAATGGAGAATCTTTACACAGTTTTTTTTTTTTTTTTTTTTTTTTTTTTTTGTAAAAAAATTATAAACATTTTCTCAAATATACACAAAAATTGTCTGAATTACATTCTTTACAATTGCAGTTATATCACACTACCATTGTATGCAGCTAAGGTTATCTGAAAAAGAAATATACATTCTTAAAGGTATCTGTCAAAACATGAAAGTTGAAACAATATTTAATGCAAAACTATAATTAACCGGGCATTACAATTATTAGGCATTAAACATTTTATTTACTATGTTTTAAAGCGATTTGTTGTCATAATTTTTAAGGTACCAGTCTTAATTAAAAAAAGGATGAAAAGCAAGTTGTTGGTTGATGTCTTGACAAATTTCTTTTTTCACATATTGTTTTATTGTATTATCAGGCTGTTGGCTTTCTTGATTTAATTCTTTCACATTTATTCATATTGAACTTTTTATAGCTCTTTGTATTGGTTCTTACCATAAAAGTCAGCTCCAATGCCCATTCCCAGCTTCAATCCTTACAGACAAGCTATGATGCTAATCTGAAATATAAAATGGTGAGTCATTAAATATTGTTTAAAAGGTTTATTGTTGGTATACAGTAATGTATTTATATTTAATAGAAATACTCTATAAATGTGTAAAAGTTGTTCAGAACATTTGTATTAGACAGCAATCCTGCAATCCAACAAACTTTTACGTAATTACATCAGATCCTTATATTTAATCATATAATGGTTCTACTGATAAAATAAAGAGTAGGCTTCTCACCAAACACTTATAAAACTTTAAGCTTATACCACATACTATTTACAAATACTTTTTATAATTCTTTTGTTATTTTTCAATACAGGAATAAAATCCTGGTACCTACCTTCAAATTAGCTGTATTAGACCACCAAGTCTTATTCCCACACCATGAAAACATGTCAAATAATAACCTAAAAAGAATTAAAAATAAGACATTATATATTTTACAAATTCATTTCTCTGTCAATCTAAATTTTACTAAATATTGTTCTGATTTCTCACTACATGTTCACAACAGTATAACATCAAAACCAGTTTGTAAAATAAACTGCTGACACATGTGTCTCAATTGTCAGCAGAAAAAAATAAGAAAGACAATATGATGGATAGCAACATTGTTAATTAATTCTAAGTTGCTGGACCATGACCTAGGGGGAAGGGCCTTGAAATAGTCACCAAACTGATATGTTCTGATAGTTATGCAACTTCATACAAAATATCATTGGTCTATCACATGTAGTTTCTTCAAACTGACAAGCAGAAACTTTTACAATTGTTGACACTGCCACCACAGCCAGAAAAGCAACACCTTTGTATTACTTTCTGTGACTTTCCTACCAGGCAAGACAATTAATATAAAAGATGGAAAAACAAAAAAATAGGTCAAAGGGTTTAGTGTGGAATTTAACTGCACAATTTAACAGAGTTATCTCCAATTGAATGAACAAATCTTGCTGTTAGATGTACCTGTCTCCCCTTGAAATTGTATTCCTATCTCAGAATTTTTCTTCTGATATATTGATGAAAATCTTGTTAATTTATCTGGTATCTTTTAAACTGGTCAATTAGTTTTACAATGATGTTTTACATGCAGAAGATCAGAAGGGTGCTGTCTGTATGCACTTTTTTCAATTTTTTTAGACAAATTATGAATAGAAATTGTTTTGTTTAAATAAACTTGCCTTATTATTTTCTTGGTAAAGCCTCAGACTTAGTTAAAGATTTTTTTAACCATCTTCCTTGGAGCTGCTCTCCTGGCTGCTTTTGTGTTTTCAACATAGGTTTTTATGCACTGAATCCATTTAATTCAATTAACAAATGTCGTTTCCATTGTATTTGATAAAATAGTCACCAGAATGTTCCAAGACATCTCACATTTTTTTTCCAATCATGGCAACAGAAGCAATCCTCGATGTAAAATACAAAAATTTATTAAATTCATTTACAAAATACTGTAAAAATACCAGATGTGCTTTAAAACAGGTTACTTGTATTTTGAAAATTTACCAAATGTTTTCTGTACCCCACAATATCTTCCACCCATTAAAAGTATTATTTAGAACGATGTTTACATTTTTTTTTTATTTACAGAGCTCTAAATAGTAACTGATATATCAATTCGGTGACATCTGATATGTAAATACTTAAAAAAATATAATAAAAAAGGACAGTACATGTATAGTAATTGCCTAACACATATAAACAACACTTTTTAATATTTTGAAGCATAGCTTAAAAGAATACATCTTCTTTTAAGGTTTACTACTCATGTACATAGTATATTCATGTATATTCCCATAATTGACCAATTCCTCAAATAGCTGAGTTGTGCAGATAATTGTTTTTAAACAATGGAGAATGGTCTATACTGAAATTGAAATATATGGAAATATAAAATGAAAAAAAATGGGAGATAATGTTCAACCCTAATAGATTTGCAAACTCTCTATGAGGTTCCAAAGATAAGGGGTAAAAACAAAAAACAAAAATGTTACTTTTTTTTGAAATTTTTAGATGAAAAAGTTCCCAATCGAGAAAAATGGAAAAAATTATCAAACAATTCCCTAGTACCAACTGCACAACTTAAATGTGTGTGCAATCATTTTGTGAAGTTTCAAAAATCTAGATTGAAAACTGCAGGAGTTGATTACACAAAATTGGTACATCTTCGTAAATTTTGAAAAAAATCAACAAGATCACAGATTTGGAAAAAATGGGGCAAAATTCCTCAAGCAATTCCATATTAGCAGGTACAGAGCTTCAACATGTGTGCAATCCTGTGAAGTTTCGGTGGTAAAAGAAACACTGAAATAAAAAAAAAATACAAATATGATGCAAAATGGTACTATAAAGTATGAAATCTTTAAATGTTGTCAAAAAATTTAGAAAGAAAAACTGTGAACTCAAAGAACTGATAAAAACACTATTCTTTATAATAAAAAATAATTTCAAAATTCAAATGGCATGTGATAGTTCAAAAAATTAGTTTTTTAAAGTATCATACTTAAAAGAAAAATAGTTCCAAAATTAGCAATTCAAAAAGTGTTTTTGTTCCCAAATTATGTTGATAGCATATTGATTGGTGATATCAAAATTTGTTTTATGTGAGACTTCTTCCAATAACTTCTGTTGGATAAGAAGTCAAATCACTGATATCTTGACAATAATAGAGATAGACTGACATGGGGTAACAGGGTTTGAAATTAGCAGGGGCCCACTTGCCAATGGCCCCTAAAATTTGGTGTGGGCTACTTAAATTTCTGCTTTTCTTGTATAGGACTATATATGTGGGCTACAAAATTAAAGC